GAAATCAAGGAGGAGATTAAGGTGATCTTCCCTGATGCAACAATTCGAACTGCTGGCTGCTCCGATGGGGCTGAGTTTGACAAAGCTATTGCTGAAATAAGATCCAAGTGTGCTGGAGTATTGCCTTATCTGACATCACGGCCTTCATCCAAGTTGCTGAGAGACTATGAAGATGAAAATCTGATGCGTGCATACCCTTTGCAGTTTCCCTATGGATTTGGGTATCATGAAGACTTCAACATCAAAGCCTTGCAGAATGGGTATCTGAGCCATCTCCTGTCCTTGTCCACCCCAACAATGCATCAAGCATGCTTTGTTTTAGCAGTGCACAACATGTTTGAGAGATGCAAAGCTCTGAACGGAGCAGTATGGCGAGTAATGGGTGGCAGGGAAAAATGTGATGTGAGCGAGGAGGAGTTGAATGCAGCCATTGCCAGTAAGCTAAATGGACTTCCCCCTGATAATGGTCCAGGTAGCCATTTTCTAGAATCTGTCCATTGTGTAAAAAGAAATATGGCACACACCAATGCAGCAGCATCGTCAGCTCAAGCAAAATTCTTAACATTAACTCACCATTATGGCTGCCCCAAAGTTCTTTTCACTGTATCTTTTGATGACTCATTGGACATAAGGATTTTAGCTTGGTCCCAGGAAGAGGACACTTTGAATTGGATCGCATCCATGGACAATATGTCACCAGAAGAGGTGGCAACTGAAATGGACAAATGCAATGCCATTCGATTTAAATATCCTGGTTTGTGTGCTTGGAACTTTGACGAGCTCATTGATATTGTTCTGGACAAAATAGTGGGTGACAATTCACTGAAGATGGGGCTGTTTGGAACTCTTATTGCTTATGGACTTGCAGTTGAAGAACAGGGCAGAAATACCCTGCATGGACATATTTTGGTGTATACCGCAGAATGGAACAATATTCTCATAGCTTTGAACTCCTCCAGTCAACGAGTTAGAAAGGCAGCTGAAAAGGAAGTTCTCTTATTTGTGGATCGTGTGATCTCAACAGAATTGGTACCAAATGCACCATGGCAAGGGGACTATTGCCCCACATGCAACAATAGCCTGCTTACTTATGTGGATGAACAGAAATTGAGAAACCTGAGACACAAGGTCGGCTGCCAGATGGAAAAGGGAATTATTGCCGCCTGCCCCCTTTGCAAAGCTGCTTTCCAAGGGGATGAACTAGCTATGAAGCGAGTCTTACCAAAAGAACTCTGGAGTGTGGCAGAAGCAGAAAGGAAAGCACAGGTGGCTTTGAGTGTTCTCAGGAACACAACTCCAACTGCACCATGCGTTTCTTCTGAAGAGACCATTGCTATCAATAACTACAAGTACAACCACCACCTTAGCAAACACACAAAGACCTGTTTCAAGAAGGGTGATGAAGGCCGATGCAATCTTCCTGATCTTCCAGAATCAGTCTCCAATATTGTGTACAGTAAAGTGGAGTATGACACTTTCAATTGGAGGGGTGCAAACCAAAGTCAGCATAACATCACTATCAGGCCAAGACGCCTTTTGCAAGATGCTTCTACTAACTCTTACTGCATCCCAATTTCCACTTGTAAGTGTCCAGCCAACTCCAATGTGCAAGTGACTACTGGTGCAAGATCTGCAATCTACTGCACTTGCTATGCGGCAAAGGGCACCCAAAAAGAAGATACTGGAGAACTGAAGAAAATGGGTTCTTATGTGGCTCACAGATTTCTGGAAGAACATAAAGAGAATACACTATTTGAGGGATTGTCTCGTTTAATGGGTACAGTTATTGTGGCAACAAGCGAACATGTAGTAGCTGCTCCTATGGCTGCCTACCTGGTTAGAAACCATTCGAGATTCAAGTGGTCACACAGCTTTAAGTATATTCCAATTAGGGAAATTGTTGACCTTCTCATCCAAAGAACCTCTGTAGAAACAATGAGAATGTCAGTTATGGATCATGAGAAAGGCTGTTTCTTAACCAGTGAAGCTTTGCATTATCTGCAACGTCCCAAGAAAAAGTTTGAGACTTATTGCCTTGTTGATTTTTTCCAGGAGTATGAAATTGTCAGAACCGATAAGCCAAATGAAACTGATGAAGCTGATGGAACGTTCACAATTGATGATACAGAACATCCTGGCTATAAGAAACAAATTATAAAGGAGAGAAAAGAGCCTGTTCTAGCTCAGTTCTCCCATTGGGCCTTTCCTGATGCAGCCTCGTTTGGAGGTGACATTTTGGAAATGAACCAGTATCCTGTGCCTACCAGTGTAGAGAACTACTGCCGCACTATACTGGTGCTGTACCATCCATTCAGGACTCTGCAGGATCTCACCATTGATGGTTCTTTTCATAAGATGTTTACAAGATTGTACCACGATGGAGTCCCAGATCACATAAGGGAGCTTTTATCTAATGTACAAATGTTTTACAACAGTGTGCGCATGCCAGCAAAGGAGGACCCTCTGAAACACTGTACAGAACAATTTGAGGCTCCAAATTCAAATCACCCAGTATCTGAAGAAGAGGAAGAAGACGATGACAATTTTTTTGATGGTGTCTTCAATCTCATGTCACCTCAACCTACAATAACATCAAATGAATTACAGATGAAAGTGTCACTTAACAACTTACGGAGGGCTGGAGGCAGGGGATGTGGATTTAATAACTTGCCTCAAACTGATGAGTGCACTTCGTTTTTAAGAGATTCCCAGAGACCAACCAGACATTCTACAAGTGGTATTCCCAGCCAATTCATCTCGTCTGTAACATCATGTGGTAATCACACCTCAAGCTACAATCAATCCAATGGTCTTACACTACGTGACAAACCTACCCCATACCAGCTTATGGAGCTTACCTACCGCAATACAAGAAGAAGACTGACTGAACAGGAAGAAGAATCTAGATCACCTGAGAACTCTGTGGAAGCAAATGGCACATGCTTATCCATTATCCAATGGTCCCTCCGACCTGACATTAGCTTAGACAAAGAACAACAGCTTGCATTTCAGATAGTCACAGCAGCATTCATACTTACGTACTATCAAGATGCAGAAACCCTTGATCCCTCTGTTTATAGGACATGCTCCAATAATCCAAGCCAAATTAGACGTGACTTCAAAGAAGAGAAGGGTAAACTTCAAAGAATATCCAGGCTACGGCATAATCAGCTAATAATGTTTCTTGATGGGGCAGGAGGAGCTGGCAAGAGTCGGGTGGTTCAAGAGCTTTTGAAGTATGCCCAAGAATTCACCACTAGATTGGGTTTAAGATTTGACATGCGCACCATTGTTGTCAGTGCTATGTCAGGAGTTGCAGCTGTTTCCATAGGAGGGGAGACAACTCATTCTGTAGCTGCTTTTTACAGAAACATAGATGAGCAGGACACTTCTTGGGCCAATGCTCGATTGCTGATTATTGATGAAGTTTCTTTTATGTCTACCAATGAGGTGGACCTTCTGGATGAAAAGCTTAGATGTCTTATGAGGAAGTACAACAGTCTTTACGGTGGAATTCACATTCTCTTTTGTGGAGACTTTAGGTAAGCTAAACAATGTTAGTCCACTTCCTACTGCTTCGATTCACTCATTTATTGATTGCCTTGCCCCATAGACAACTGGAGCCTGTGAAAGGAAGTCCATTGTACTCTCCTTTTCACAGCGACAAGAAGTGGATCAATTCCATTAATTGTTACATTGAACTTTTGGGGCTTCACAGATTTAGCAAAGATCCAGAATGGGGACTCATTTTGTCAAGATTGCGAAATGACACTTACACACAACATGATATTGATGCAATCAATGAGTCCTGTATTAAAGTTGCACCCAGAGCTATTCCTGCAGATGCATCTTACTGTGTCTACACTAATGCAGACCGAACTGCCATCAATGCTGGTATGTTCTCTAATGTATTAAAAGCACACTGGCAGAAACATGACGTTCTTCCCAATCACATGGTGGCAATAACTGCTGGACATATGGTTCGAGTGAACAAATCAAAGAAAAAAATCCCACTTGGAGAACAGGACAAACAGTACATTTATGAGAATTGTGGGGACCACAGAGTTAGAGCTACAATTCGGGGTCGTAGGGGAGGTCACTTTGTTGACCCAATGCTGAAACTTTATCACCATATTCCCTTGATGTTTGTGTCAAATGATGATGTCGCCAATGGTCATGCCAATGGAACAAGAGTGTTTCTGGAGGCTGTGATTACTAAGCCAAATGTAGTAGCTACTACAATTAACATTGATGGATACGACTGCCCAGCTCTTGATGCATCTGATGTCGACCATCTCATTTGCAGCTCCGCAGAGAATCCTAACAAGATATTCAAAATCAATGTAAAAACCTTACAATGTTCCATTCAAGCCCCCATTCCTAGGGCAATTGCAGGGCCTGTGCAAGGTACAATCAAATTGACTGTGAGTTTGGTTCAATTTCCTATTATCACGAACCGAGCAACTACTGGCCACAAGCTTCAAGGACAGAACAAGCACAACTTAGTAGTATCGGTATGGTCTAAGAGAAGAAATTGGAATTATGTGGCTCTATCTAGAGTGCGAACTAGACCAGGACTCTATTTATTGGCAAAGCTTCCACATGATACTGACTTTTCCATGCCACATGAGTTGAGAGAGATGCGAAGGAGACTGACACAATTAACCCCAGCTGTTGTGGAGTGGGATTTAGAGGAAGAAGAAAGAATTGTCGATTTAAGAAGGCATCATGCCTTTAATAGAGCTTCAACTTGACTTAAATATTTAAACCATGTCCTATGCAATGCGAACCTGTATTATATTTGGTCTAGGCTACGTAATCTGTGTACATATCAATAGTAGCTTGCTTTACCATGGCTGTGCCAACCAACCCAAAAGCCACCGGGTACCTGCTGCAAAAAAATGTCTTTGTACTGCTTATTGGAGTGTGCAGGTCTGCCTAAAAATGTTTTATCTAACCCCCTTTGAAACCCCCAAATTAAGTCGTGAGGAAACCTCACGGACACTCCCTGCCGCTGCAAATTTCCATCCTTTACGTAGACAGCATAGTTCGAGCACCGGTACCGTAGTTAGTGGATAGATACCATAACAAGAGAATGGAAGATAGAGAGGGACAATCACTGCTGAGAGAACCACTCCTCAGTGCTGAAGCGACAGAGAGTGTTGGGATGGCAGAAGAGATTCCAACAAGTTCCGATCAAAATGATGCCGTCATTGGGCAAGAACAGTTGATGATGGAAGAGACCGAAACACCATGGTACAAATCACCCCTCCAATTGATTGCCATGCTTTCCAATTACTCCACAAGCTATAATGTAGTCAACATCTCCATGGTCATTCCCATCCTGGAATTCACTATTGAGGGAACCACGTCGGAGGATGCCGCTGCCAGTGCTTCATCGCTCTTGGCAGGCATGATTGTGGGTCAATTGCTGGGTGGTTATTTGGGAGATTCACCCGTCCTGGGAAGAATGGGGGCTTTGCAGCTCGTCATGGTCTTGCAAGTTATTGCCAGCCTTGGAAGTGCCATGATTTGGAGCAGTCTCAGCAGAGATGCTTTCTTTGTATGGTTGGCCATCTTTAGATTTCTATTGGGTGTGGGTGCTGGAGGTAGGGACAACTTTTGTTTGTTGGTTGTGGGGGCTTTGTTTTATGACACCAATGAGATCAACTCCTTTTTCTTGTATTTTGTCAACAGGGGTATACCCACTGGCTGCGGTTTTAAGTGCAGAACAAGGCAACAGTCAAAATGCAACTTCCACAGAACCGCAACAACAAAGCCCCAAACAGGTGCGACGCGTAGTACTGACATTTAGCACACAGGGATTGGGATTCATCACTGTGCCATTGGTCACGGTTCCCCTCTTGTACATGACAACCAATCTCGATATTGTCTGGAGAGTCATCTTGGCTCTGGGTAGTATTCCCGGCATTATCATGATGGCGGCACAGTTGTGGATCCACAAGCAGAATTCACGTCATGAACCAATTCCAACGACAGAACAGGAAGAAAGTCAACCCGAAAATGAAAATTGCAACAATGACCCTCAGGATAATTACAACAATAACCCTCAGGAAAATCAGGACGAAGAAGAAGCAGATCCAACTGTCCAAAATGGTCTGCAAGAAAACAATAATAACAATACGGAGGAATCTCCTGATGCTGATGACGGTGCACTGATGCGGGACATTCAAATCATGGAAGAACAGCTTCGTGACAACACGGGGCGCTGGGCTTCTATTCAAGGTGAACCGATGCTGTTTCGAAAATTATTGGGGACTGCAGGGACATGGTTTTTATTTGACGTGTTGTTTTATGGGAATGCTCTCTTCCAACCCATTGTGATCGAGGCCGCATTTGGATCCAGTAGCAAAGGAGGCGATCCTATCATCGAATTGAGGGAAACAGCCATCAATTCCTTGATTTTGACTGCCATTGCCCTCCCTGGTTACGGTGTCGCAGGCTTGGTCATGGGAAGACGGATATGCGGTATACTTCAAACGCCAAAATACATCATGCTACAAGGATTCGCCTTGATGGCCGTTCTCTACTTTGCCATTGGGACCAATTGGTCTGCTTTGAAGCACACGCCAGTGCTTCTCGTATTGCTCTATGGCATGACCTTCTTTGCTGCCAACAATGGACCAAACACGACAACTTTCATCTTGCCTTCAATGGTGTTCTCGCCAGAGTGCAGATCCACATTAAATGGAGTCAGTGCTGCCGCGGGAAAGTTGGGCGCTTTGACTGGAGCCACCCTGTTTGAACCAGTTGCAGAAACCTATGGCGATGCCAATGTCATGCTGATCTGTTCCGGGATTGCCGTCCTTGCTTTCGTCATGACATGGTGGTTTGTGCAAATGCATCCCACCAGTCATCGGCACGAATAATAGACTTACACAAAGGAAATTATTTTGTAGTTTCAAGACAGAGTTCTTGTCACTGTGATTCGTTGTGGTCTTGTGCTTGTAGGACCATCCGCGTCTTTGCTGCTAGAAGTGCGTTTCTTACGTGATTTGGGAAGCGCAAAATTCGGTGGCGGTACTGTGGCTTCCCCGATGATGCTGTAGCCCAGGCGTGCCAGCGGCTTGGAGTTGGACAAGAGTGCATCCTTGTGGACGAAGATGCATGGAGTTCCAGGTTTCAGCTGTCGCTTCAGTGCTTTCAGAATGTTGAGATTCTGATCCACGTAGTCAATTGTATTCTGCCCCCACGGCAGGTTGGAAACTACACAGTCAATCTTCAACGGCAAGTCTCCTGACTCTTGGACGAGTGGCACTATAGAGCTATCCCTTACACGCACTCGACACCTTGAAGAGACACTATCTTCTCCAAAGCAGTATCCAAGGTTTTGCTTCGTTCCTTGTACACACTGCGGGTTGACATCCCACCCTTCGACGTGGACTCTTCGTCTCCCGGAAGCCAGAGCAAAGGCCAGGAAGGTACCGCTACCACACGTTGGATCGAGGATACGAATAGCGCCGTCCGGTTCCACCGGGTGTTCGACTAGATCAAACAACATTTCAATGACGATCTCAGCCACCACGGGGTGAATGGCAGAACTGTACTGGAAAGGCCTCTTGCTCCAGCAGGACAGGTGAGCAGTACCGGTAGGAGAGCCAGAACGTGAAATGATGCGACCCACGTATATGCCATGGTGCAGTGTCTCGATAGCAACTAGTTTGTCGGATGCACAGCTGGCATCCAACGATGCCGGGGCTCGAATGTTTTGAGCAATTGCACAGAGGAGCGGCTTCAAAGTGTATCCCAGCTTGGGAATGTCGTTTGCCGAGCCCTCTTTATCAACCATTCGGATGTAATCGATGGCCCAACCTGTGCAATTTTCTATTGCGATTCCTTTTCCATTGTTGTGTTCTTGCAATGATTTGACCAAATTGCTGGCATTTGATCCAAAAGCAATGACCTCTGCTATCCATTCACACCGTGCCAAGCTAGGTGGAAGAGTGTCGTCCACTTCAACTTTATTCTTTTCAGAAGATTGCTGTGGCAAGAGGTCGTATACCGTTGCTGGATTCCTGGAATCAAAATTCAGTTGTAGAAGTGTCGATCCCGTGGCGGCATCCAACACAAGCCTCTCGCATTCATATTGGCAGTTGGTTGCATCCAGTTGGGCTTGCAGAAGCTGCAAGTCGGCAAATTTAAAGGTCTCTTGGGTCTTTGCCAGGTAGAATCGATGATTGTTTTCCGAGTTTCTCAGGACAATCGCATTGGCACAGAGCTGGTGGAACAGGGATATCAACAATAGTACAACCACTGTGGACGCCTTCGCCATCCTTGTTCTGTCAATTTTGCCCCTGAGGTCTTCTGTGCATGTGGTATCCAACCCACCAAACACCAAATGCTACCGGTACCGGTACCGGTACGGTATGGTCCTTATCTCGCCCCCGATGCTCTACCGGTACCTCCCAGGTGGAACTGAGAATCGAAATAGGGATGAAGAGAAAAACGTTACGACTGATCACCGGAAACGTATTCTTTAGAGACCTTGAGACTTTTCGAGCAGAAAATGCACCCATCACAGCCATCCCCTACCGGTATGAGCCATGGCTTTATTGTCCGCATCTTTGGCAAGAGGGCAGAAGTATTGTTGTAGATTTAACATCAATATTATTAATGTATCTTCAGATACCGCCATGAATCTTCAAACCTCGACTGGTGTTTCCCGCTTCCGCGCAACGACGCGCGCCCAAGATCGAAGCCCTTCGAGAGCAATCGAGAGATCTTTTTGTGGTTCCTGCCACCACATCGGGTCTTCGCGACGAACCGACCGCTCCTGTTGTTTGTTGCCGTTGGATTCGGTCATCGTCCACAACCAACAGCACAGCATATCTTTTGTACATTGGCATTGGCATCTTCTGCCTCGCCTGATACCCCAAGCAAGGAGGTTAAGTCGTACAGACAAGAAGGTAGCAAGCAAGACAAAACAGAAGGCATTATCCTGGTTCTGCTCATATTATCTGTATCGGATTGATCACGAAAAAGTCCAAGTGAAGATGGCGTTTCCACCCCCGCCTCCAGGACAGTTCCCTGGATCCGGCTTTGCGCCACCACCGCCACCTCAAGGCCAAGGCTTTGCTCCGCCTCCGCCGCCCCCAGGACAAGGACAAGGATTTGCTCCACCCCCTCCTGGTGGACAGGGATTCGCCCCGCCCCCACCAGGTGGCCAAGGTTTCGCTCCACCCCCACCTGGACAAGGATTTGGTCAGGGGCAACCCCAGCCGTGAGTGTGCAGCTTGTTTGTTGGGCTTTTGGGTTTGTTGTGAAAGTCAAGATTCATGTGATTTGTTTGGTTTGAGAGACCGCCTTATTGGTTGGAAAACGAGAGAATTCTAGCTTTTAGTGGACTCACTCTTAGCTCGTTCTTGGGAACTGGGTTGTTACCTGGCTGTGTTGTGGTTGTGTCTCTGGATTGTGTGGGAATGCATTGCTCTTTGTGGTTTTGTCTGTCTCGTATTATCTGTGTGCTCTGAACTCGGCTAACTTTGTTACTCTTTGATTATTCTTTCATAGTCCTCGACCAGGTGGTGGTTTTGCGCCGTGAGTGATGAATTAGTTGGTTTGGATGTGTATTTTGTGTTTGCTGCTATGATCGGTTCTTGATTTGTTTGCCCCTCTCACTTTTCAATTACTTATTTTTTACCTATGCATCAATTAAAAAAGACCACCTCCCGGTGGTGGTTTTGCCCCTCCTCCCCCGCCAAATCCTGGAATGCAGCAGTTGAACCAGGCATGTCGAACATGTCCATGCAACCGCCTCCACCTGCCCCAGGGGCTGGGTTTGGATCATCTCAACCGTAAGTGGCTGATCAAACTGTATAGTCGTGGGAACTAGTCTTTGTTGACTCACGGCATGATATTTGTTCCCTTCTTGCAATCACTTGAATAGCCCGCCACCACCCGGTGGAGTTGGTTTTGCGCCGCCACCAGTGGAGGATTTCAGCAACCTCCTGGACCTGGAATGCAACAACCACCCCCACCAGGTCATGGCGCGTCTTCGTTCTATCCACAGCCAACTGCTCCGGGACCTCCCCAGGGTCCCCCTCAGCCTGGAATGCAACCAGCACCACCAGGTCCAGGGGGAGCTGCAGCAGCTCCCCAAGCCGACGCAGCCATGATCAATCAAAATATTGATTTCAGTGTCAAGATTCCAGACAATTTGATCAAGTTCACGGCAAACAAAGTTGCCAGACGGCTCAGCTGGCTGCTGGGACAAAGATCCCATTCGGTGCAGTGATGCGTCCATTGGCCCCGGAAGGAGAAGATGACGAGCACATTGAAACCGTGCAACCAGGAAATGCGGGAATTATTCGTTGTAAGAGGTGTCGTACTTACATCAATGCATTTGTCTCGTGGTCCGAGCATGGGCGGCGATGGCGTTGTAATATTTGCGGTCAAATCAACGACTGTGCAGCAGCCTACTTTTGCCACTTGGATGAGCAAGGTTTGAGAAGGGATCGATTTGAACGCCCTGAGCTGTCCAAGGCCGTCGTTGAATTCATTGCTCCAGCCGAGTACATGGTCCGACCTCCCCAGGAACCATCTTACTTCTTCGTCATTGATGTGAGTGCGACAGCTGTCCGGAGTGGAATGGTGCATTCGACAGCCAAGGCTATCAAAGAAAGTTTGGATGATCTCCCGGGACGGGGGAGAACCAAAATTGGATTCATCACGTTCGACAATGCTGTGCATTACTACAACTTGGCTTCCGAACTCAGCGCTCCACAAATGATGGTTGTCGCAGATTTGAAAGAGCTGTTCGTGCCACTTCCCGATCATCTTCTGGTGAATCTGCAAGAATCACGATCGGTTGTAGATCAGTTCTTGGACAGTCTTCCGGAAATGTTTGTCAAGAATCCTGTTGTCTCGCAGTCATGCCTTGGGCCGGCCCTGAAAGCTGGTTTCACCGTCATGAAGAATATCGGCGGAAAGTTGTGTGTTTTCCAGTCAATCATGCCAAATCTCGGGGACGGCGCACTGAAAAACCGAGAGAACAGACCTCTCATGGGTACTCCGAATGAAGTCAAACTGCTTCGTCCCGAGGTTACCTGGTACAAAGACACAGCAGTGGAGTTCAGCAGACAGCAAATCAGCGTGGACATGTTCCTTTTCCCTTATCAGTACATGGATCTGGCGGCGATGGCGGAGTTGCCAAAATACACTGCTGGTTCAGTGCACTCTTATGTTTCCTTTAACCACAAAAAGGATGGACCGCGATACGAGCAAACACTGAACAAAGTGTTGACTCAAACCACAGCCTTTGAAGCTGTGATGCGAGTTCGTTGTACCAAGGGGATGCGAATCAGCAACTTTTACGGAAATTTCTACATTCGGGGAACGGATCTCTTGGCGCTGCCCAACTGCAACACGGACTCAGTTTTTGGCTTCGATTTGGCTCACGACGAACAAAATGTGGCCAGCAACCATGTAACTCTTCAAGCTGCCCTGTTGTACACCAGCAGCGAAGGACAGCGTCGTATTCGCGTCATGACCCAAGTTCTGCCCGTGACCAACCGAAGCACCGAATTGATGGCCTCGGTGGATACAGATGCTGTGTGCAATCTACTTTCGAAGCAGGCAGTGGAAGTTGCCATCAAGACTAGTTTGGATAATGCTCGCATGAGGCTGCAACAAACTTGTGTCGACATGATTCGGAACAGCAAGGAAGGGGACAAGCGAACGGTTTCTGGCTACACTGTTCCGCCTCCCCAGGGGCACCACGGAGGACAAGAAGCAGAAGAAAAACCCATTCCCGAGCATATGCAATTGTTGCCTCTCTACATCTTAGCAATGATGAAAAATGTTGCATTTCGCGGTGGCACTGATGTGCACCCTGACGAACGAATCCAGGCCCATCGGCAGATGGTTGCGATGTGGGTTACTCAATCAAAGAATTTCATCTACCCTCGTCTCTTTTCAATTCACGATATGGATGACAATGTTGGCTATTCCGTGGAAGATCTTCCTGATGGTGGCGGCGATGATCCTCCTGTCGCGGGTCGCAACAGAATTTTGTTGCCTCCAGTGGTCAATCTGAGTGTCGAAAGGCTTACGAGCAATGGAGTATATCTTCTTGACAACGGCATTGACATGTATCTTTGGGTCGGGCGTGCTGTTGATTTGAATGTTCTTGGCTCGCTCTTTGGTGTTCAATCACTTGAGGACTGTGACCCTGCTCAGGTATGCGGTTGTATTTGAGTGTTCGATGCCATGCCTGAATGAACGTCATCTGAACTTTTCTTTTCACCTCTTTTCCTTTCAGATCGAAGTCCTGACTAGTGGCGATCCGTTGGCTTCTCGCTTTGGAGCGATTATTGATGCCTTGCGGGATGACGGTGACCAGTTTGTGATCAGTCCAAAGATTCATATCTGCCGAGAGGGTGATCAGCATATGGAGTCTCGCTTCTTCTGGTTCTTTGTGGAGGACAGGGCTTCCTTCCAGGGTGGTACGTTTAGCTACGCTGATTTCATGCAGTTTGTTAACAACCCCAATCAACCAGGAGGAGGAGGGGCGCCTGCGGCTCCACGTGGTCCGATGCCCCCTGCGCCTGGAGGTCCTGGTCCTCAACGAGGGATGCAACCACCGATGCCCGGCCAACCTGGACCTCCGGCACCGGGGATGCAAAGAGGGATGCCACCCGGTCCGCCGATGCCGCCATCGAATCAACCCGGGCCCCCAATGCCTCGACAGCCTGGACCACCAATGCCGCCGGGTTCGTCTCAGCCTCCCCCTCCGCAGCAATACGGAGGCCCACCGGCACCACCACAGCAACAGCAATACGGAGGTCCACCGGCACCACCACAGCAATATGGCGGCCCACCGGCACCACCTGGCCCACCAGCGCAACAATATGGAGGTCCACCGGCACCACCTGGTCCAACCCAGCAATACGGCGGTCCGCCGGCTCCACCCGGCCCACCAGCGCAGCAATACGGAGCTCCTCCCCCGAGGCCTGGACCACCAATGCCACCGCAGGCGCCGTCTGGTCCACCACGGCACCAGCAGTAAGTTCTGTTTGTTGTTGCTGCCCTTGATGGCGTTACCCGTTGATGCCCATGCCAGCTGATTGCATTTTGCTTTTGTTCTCATAACTGCCATTTTTTCTTTTTGTTCTTGAACATACCACCCCTGGTCCACACAGGCCTCCGTCGCAGCAGAGCTACGGCGGTCCACCAGCTCCACCCGGTCCACCCAGAGCGCCACCAGGACCCCCAAGTCACGCAGCTCGGACCCCGCCACCACCAGCACCTGAAAGGCCTGTGGGTTCACCATACCCGGCCCCTCCCGCTCCTCCCGGGCCACCTCGTGGCGGCCCTCCTCCTCCGCCTAATCGCATGCCACCACCCCCAAGACCTCCGCCGCCCCCGAGCTACAGGTAGAGTGCTGGGTCATGCGGTAGTCGATGGTGCATACAGAAAGGCGAGTCGCCAAGAGCTCGGAAAGCGACGGGAGAGGCAATAGTAGAGAGACGCAAGTAAACAAAGTAGCAGGTTCTTATCCGTTCAGACAAGTAATTGAGTACTGTGATGTTTGCTTTAGAAAACTAAGTGATGGATTACATAAGCTAGAATTTATGTGGTTGGATTCCAGTGGGTTCGCCACTGTCACCATCATACAGGATATCCATAGGTTGACTGTCGCTGTCAAGACTCTTGCGGCCTGCCTCTAGAATGGCTGTTCCTTGCATGGTGGTATGAACTGTGGCAATGGATCCGTCATCAAAGTCTTGTGGTTTGTTGGCTCCTGCGTTGACGGCCCGACAGGCATCGATAAAGTTTTCAAAGCTTCGCACTCCGTAGCTCTGTTGGCCCGAGAATTTTCCATTGGTGGGAGTGTACTTCATGAAAAGTGGATTGACGGATGCAAACCCTTTTTCGTCCGTGGAAACAGTGCAACCTCGATGGGCTTGATCGACATTGATTTCTCCCGACGATCCCATGTAAAAGAATCGTTGTTGGGAGTGTACGTCACTTTTGGGTGCTACCCAAGAGGAAGTGCTATTGTTGAAAGGAGACGGGAAATGTCAGGACAGATGAGTATAATAATATACCAAGGCAGACAATCCCTGGTGTACAATAGCTTCCAATTCTGGACCAACTTACTAAATGGCAGTTCCAAGAGTCTTGTCCGAAATGTTTTCCCATTGCACCGTCAATGTGATGGAGTCTTCCGTCTCAATTCCTTTGGCTTTGGCAATTCCGGTGGATCCGGTAGCCGTGACGCGAATGGGACGAGCAATGGACGCCAAGGTCCATTCGGACCAATCAACATGATGAGAATTGAGATAGTATGAGATATCACTGGATTTTCCAGCCCAAGCTTTGAATGTCTCTAGCTGATGCTTGGGTTGACTCATGTAAGCGTACATGTATTGAAAATTGCCCAATGCGGATCTGGCTCGATCTCGTGCATCCGCATAAAAGGGATCGAGTCGTTTGTGTACTTCGACACCGACCAGGACTCCCTTTTCTTTGGCGGCCTTGGCGAGTTGATGATGCTCTTCCAGAGTTTTGACAATGGGCTTGGTGACCATGACATGCATGCCCTGTTGGATGCATTGCATGGCAATTTGGAAGTGGGTATCATCTGGCGTAAAGATGATGGCGACATCCCCCGCCTTGAACGTTTTCACTGCAGTCTCGTAGGCTTTGGGATCGACTTGGTCATCCTTTGGAAAGGTATCGCATTCAATGGAGGTGTCAGCGTAGACATCCTGAATGCATCGTTTCATGTGGCTGCGAATTCCGGGAAACTTTTTGCCCTGTTGACAATTCGTTAATTAATATTGGTGTGATCGAATATTGATGGTGAGCGAATCCAACCATGCAGTCACAAGGCAGTGTTTTGAATAGTTCTGTGGTAATGATGACTGCGACATTGACTTACATTGACTCCACACATTCCCACTCGTTCCACTTTGGCTCTTCGGCGAAGATCAAACATGGTGAGAGCCACAACACCTGCTCCCTTGTCACTATCAGCCGCTGTGCCTCCTACATATCCAGTGGTGTATTCTCCTGTGCCCACCATGAGCACGTCTACCTTACTATTCAAGTCCGACATGGTACCAAACGCCAATGAGCTATAAAACAGCAAAATCAATAGAACCTTATTATGAGAAGAGCAATCAATGCGACTATGCATATAATATGTATGATGAGGGGGTGACACCCACTTGGTCAGAGCCTTTGGTTATTGTCATGGAAGTGTTTCTGTTGTTGACTGATGGTGACTTGACTCAATGGCTCTCTGATGAATCGATGAAGATGACGTCAGTGGATCTTTTGTACGAACCCATCACACTCGGCCACTCCAGAATCATCGTTTCATCGATATACCACATCCCAATTGTAACCAAAAGGTTTATTATTTGGTGTATCTGTTGTTGCTGTTGGCATGGGCTAACTGTGGAATATTAAGAGAGAAGGAAAATAGAACCAGAGGAGAGATGCTGCTCAAGACAAAGGGCTTTATCTACTTGTCTGCGGTACTTTCTTTCAGCCGTCCACAGTCTTCTCTGGCATTTCTTTTGGCAACTACAACAATAAGACAAACTAGTTCCAACATGCAAGCAACCCAAGATGATGAACAGGGAGATGATAACTGCCAAGTTCTTCGAGTCTTGGCTCTTCACGGCAGTGGAGGCAGTGCCGATGAATTCACCAGTCGATTGGAGAATTATCGACTAGCCTTGAAAGAAGACTACCACACAGAGCTCCAAGTCGTTGCCATGGACGCTCCATTTCCCAAAGAGGGGGGATACTCGTGGTGGACCATGCCACCAGGAGAGCGATCTTTTAATGCTATGGAGTATCTTGGATTTGACAAAAGTGCCGAACTGGTATCATCCGCAATATTTCAAGAGCAACCGGCAACGTTTGACATCATCTATGCTCACTCCCAAGGAGCCATACTCACCGCAGCATTGCTCGCACTACAACGATTTCCAGAACATCCTACACGAGGATATATATTGAATGGAGTGGCATGGCCCAATCCATACTCAGAGCAGCTGGAATCTGTTTCATTTGTCAATGATCAAACCAACAACGAAACGAAACCCAGAATACTCATTTGCACAGGAGAAAATGATAGAATCAACCCACCAGATACCCAACAAAGAGTCAAGGTGGCACTGGAACAAGCGGGGGCTAGAGTAGAGCAGATTTCACATCCCGGTGGGCACAGCATTCCAGTACAAAGAGACGAAACACTTGACAAACTTCTTGGTTGGATCATGCAACCGCAGCCGCAGAGCTAGCTAGTGAAAAATAATTCAAAGGAACAGCTGATGTTTTCAAGACCAGTGATTCAAGGATACTAGTACGGTACATTATTTGGAAATATATATGACATCTCTAGCTAGTTTGTTTTGGTGTGTTCCTTTAGAGTACCGTAATAGCTACAGTACGCACGGAATCACTATCTTACAACTCATCAATCAGCGTTAAGTTCAAATCCTTCTCCTTCAAGAGGGCATTCTTGGGGCCTCCAACTCCCACAGTCGCAGGCCAACCGTGCAAACGAATCGCATACTCCAAAAAGTCATTGTTGTTGGTACCCAGGATATCATCGCGCCATCTCTGCCGAATCTTGGCATTGGAGCCACTCAAGAAATCGATCATGGAGGTCCAGCCAGCTCTGTCGGGCTGAGGGGCAGAGCCATCCAAGGATCCGATTGTACCAATAATGGCACTATTGATGAGTTTAATGGCAGTTGAAGAATGCTGCATTTGCTCTTTCAGATAGGTAGGTACTTCTTCATAAACTCGCAGCGATTCGTACACATTGGGATCGCGGAAGGTCATGTACGTCAAAAAGCCCATCCAAGGATCCAACATGGCAAAAGCACCGTAGGCGCCTCGTCGTTCTCGGATTTGAAGCATGAAGTTGTTGTATTCAATGAACTGGGTCACAGCAGCTGTGCTGCCGGGAATTGCGCTGTAAGGCCCATAAAGAGGAGCTCCCGAACCTACATAGTTCACCTTGGTTGCCATGACAATACCTTCATTTCGAACTGGAGAATCGGCTGCCATTCTTTGTTTGGCTTCAGGTACCCAAGGGTGTACAGCCTTGGCAAAGTTGGGCAGCTGCGTCTCGGAACCGCGATCGTTCAGTTGCTTTGTCAAGAACCGGGATACTTTGGGAGCAATCTGTTGGAGCACCGCCTTTTCTCCAGTTAGGTTCAAGATCATGCCCTTTCGGTTACCGCGAAGAATGGCGTTCTTCATATTCGTAAGTCTGTTCAGAAAGCTCGCCCAATCCGATTCAGCCGTTTCCAGCACTTTGCGTAGCTTTGGCAATGACGAAACTCCTGATTCTTCTTCAGATATGAACCCGAACGCACTGTATCTTGCTTGAATACGCCACTCTGGAAATAATGTAGTCCCCCCAGCCAACCGTTGCTCCAGCTTGGCGATGCGTTCTCTCAGAATGGCCAAGCCCCGCTCTTTGGAATCAAGCAAGGGATGAAACATGATTTGAGAAAGGATTTCCAACAAGTCGGCTCCCCTCTCTTTGGTGGCAGCTCCACGCAAGAAGAGTTTCGTATGAAAATGCTCTCCATCGGGAACAAGAAACTGGGTGGTTGCATTGGGCGGCAAAATTGGGTGTAACAGAAACTCGTGCTTGATCCCTCCCGTGTACGTCCCAATCTGACGGGCAATCTGAGCTACATTGTACTTGTCTGTACCTCCCTCTATCATGAGTTCAGCAAGGATGGATATGAGAATAATGTCGTCGAACTCAAGCATGGAAATATCGACCCCGAAATCGATATATATAATTCCAAAGGAAGATGCAACTTCATGGACAAGCACAGTGACACCTGACCCGTCTTTATCTTGCTGCTTCAATATAGGAGGTTCGTACCCTTTCTTTGCCAAGTCCTGGACGGTAACACTTGGGATCAATGCCAGCATTTCGGGAGGGTCATCCGTGACTTGACGTTCCGCCAGACTGTCGGCTTGATCCAGCAACGTTGGAAACTTTTGCGACTGTCGGAGCTTGATGAGACGCTTTTGTTCCTCATCCTCGTTCTGTTGGGCGAGTAGTGGATCGGGGTATAGCTCCATGACTGCGCTGTGTCCATTATTGATGAGATTGTCCTGGATGACTGCGGTAAAGAGATCCGATCCCTGATCCTTGACCCGTTGCTTGAGGTCCTGAAAGTCATCTTCAAAGGACAAAAAGCCCGTCAGCGGATCCAAGTCAAATTTCCACGTCTGCATGACATTCATGAACAGCATTATCCCTCGCGGACCACCCGAAGATGACATATCCCTGTATGAGAACTCTACAGTATTCATGGCAGCTTCCATATCCTTGTCGTCAAAGCCCTGGTGAACAATTTGCTGCAGAGTTTCGTGTGCCAGATCTGCCACTGCTTGGACATTGGATCCATTGACATTGGTGGCCAGAACATCAAACGTCCACTGCAAGTAACTATTGTCGAGGCCCCCTTTGACACTTCCCGCCAAGCCCGAATTCTGCAGTGCCAAGTAGAGTGCTCCATTTTTATCATTCATGAGCAATTCATCCAGGACCTCAAAGAGCAGTCTGTTTTGTCGTTGAAAGTCATCGTCCGTGGTATTCCCGTCAGCACTGATCAACCAACTCTTCATGACTTGATGATTGTCGACTTTGCTACTATCGCCGGCAACAATGGGAATGCGTAGCATCGTTGGCGGCAAATCTTGCAATGGCTGCAATTCAATAGTGCTGTCATTCCGGATATCGGGTCTCGGTTCATACGTCGAAAGATACTCATCCAGCTGTGTCAAGCAGTTCTCTGCGGTAGTCTTGCTTCCATAGAGGAATACTTGTGCATTGGAAGGATGGTAGAATGTCTTGTAGAATTCGATGAGTTCGGCATGGCTGAGATCCGGAATGACTTTGGGTTCTCCTCCCGAATTGTACTGATACACGGTGTCGGGAAATATAATTTGTTTGACGAATTCTCCCAATATTTCCTCTGGATTGGCCATGGCTCCCTTCATTTCACTGAGAACGACTCCATTGAAAACGGGTTCTCCCGTTTCATTCATTTCTACCCTCCATCCTTCTTGTCGAAAGATGGGTATTCCTCGTTCTCCTTCGACGACGAGTGGTGCAAATACGGCGTCCATGTAAACACTCATGAGATTTTTCATGTCAACGTCATTGCGAGAGGCACAAATATAGGACGTCAAGTCATCTGCCGTCCATGCATTGACAAATGTTTGTAGCGACCCCTTGAGTACTTGTGTGAATGGATCTTTGATGGGATACTTTTTGGATCCCGCCAGTACGGAATGTTCCAATACATGCGGTGCTCCATGTGAATTGCTGGGTTTGGTGCGAAAGGAAATGCCAAATACATCGTCTTGTTCTCTATCGTATGGCAGAATGGTGATGACGGGTGTTTTTGTTCTTCGATGTTGGTAGAGTACCATATTTCCTTGAATGTAATTGAGAGGCAGTTGGAGAGTCACTTGGTAGGCAGAATTGTCAATGACGGCGTCTTTGGACACTTGACTGTGAGTGGTACTGCTGCTGCTGCTGCCATTGTCTCGTGCACCGCTATTATCAGCATTGTTATCATCCTGATCGGAAGATGACGACCCCACCAGCTGGTTGAGGAGACCTTGTGGTATGAAAAAGTAGGTCACTGCCAGTGCCAAAATAGCCACCAGAAGAAAACTCCAACAGCAGCATCTAACTCGTGATTTTCCCGTCTGTAGTTTTCTTCGTTGTCCAGCTCCCGGCATGGAATATCCCTGATCGTCAAATTCATCGTCAAAGGTAACCGAGTCTTCGGTAGAACCGCCAGAACTGGTTCCGACCATTTCCAAATCCCCTCCTCCTGAAGTATAGTTTGCCCGTTCCTTCCACATTCTGCTGTGTTTTATTGTTGGTTGTTGTAGAAGTAGTTGCAGTAGAAGTAGTTGAGCTAGCAGAGGATCGTGTGAATGGTGAAAATTGACAAATTCGGTTGTAGTAAAGCTTCACCAGGACGTCTTGACTAGTAGATAGCTAGCTGGTATTCAAGCCAAGGTATGATACTAGTATGGTATTCTTGCTGTGTGCTGTGTGCTGTCGATTCGATTCTGTTGTTTGTTGTGGTGGTGGTTATTTCTATTTTTGTGGGACGATCGAGTTTCACGAAAAGTGACCTAGTTTCAAAGGTCATTTCCACTCTAAATCCTTTTTCTTATCATCCAAGAATGAACAAATGACTCAATGACCCTTCAAAGATCGCGCTTCGAAAACGCGTGGCCAGCCGACAGACAACGAGCGGCATTGGAAGTCCTTTGTGGATCAGATCTGGTCGTTGGATCTTGCACCGGATGAGCATTGGTGTTGTTGTTGGTTCTTGTTGAGGCTGTGTCGTTGGTTGTAGCAATAGAAGAGAAGAGTGAGAGAGCATACAGAGAGAGCCTACACTACATACAGTACAGAGAGAGAGAGAGAGAGAGAGACAGAGAGCATACAGTCAAGATGGATGGCATTGCAGCAATTCGTGGTTACATTGATCGGATAGTGAATGGCGATGAACAGTGCCGAGGCATGAAGGTGCTATTGCTGGATAATGCGACGACGCATATTGTGTCGTGTGTGTACTCTCAAACAGAGATTCTTCAAAATGAAGTCTACTTGGTGTCGAGACTCGAAGACGTCGAACGCAAAAACTCCAATCAACCCACAACGTCACACCTTAAAGCCGTCTGCTTTATGAGACCCACCGATGCCAACATTGGATTGATCATACGAGAATTGGCCAAACCCAGATTTGCCGAGTACCATCTATTCTTTAGTGGCATTGTCACTTCGGGACAAATTCGAATGCTCGCCGAACAAGATGTATCGGAAAAAATCAAACGAGTTCAGGAATTGTACGGAGATTTCATTCCCATCAACGAAGATTTACTCTCGTTGCAGTCGGGAGACACACTCGCGATGACTGTCGCCGCTGGAACCAGTTGGGCGCCAAAATATGCACACTTGTACGACCGAAATTTACAAGGACTACAGGGAATGCTACTAGCTCTCAAACGACAACCCTCGGCCATTCGATATGCGGGGCACTCCCCGTGTGCCGAAGAATTGGCCAAAGACTTGCACGACACCATTGTACAAGATGACATCTTTCACTTTCGAAAATCCAGGAGAGGTGGACTGCATGTCCTCGTACTAGATAGAAGAGACGATCCCGTTACACCACTACTCTCACAATGGACCTACCAGGCCATGGTCCACGAACTACTGGGACTCAACAATCACAGAGTCGTACTCAAGGGAGCACCCAACATACCACCCGATCTGGAGGAAGTCGTACTCTCCTCCACACAAGATCAGTTCTTCTGCGACAATCGGCACAAGAATTTTGGTGAACTGGGAGAAGAAATTCAACGACTGCTACAGGATTACCAGAAACAAACCGCACAACACAACACGTCCAATCTCAACTCTATTGAAGACATGCAGGCATTCATGGAAAAGTTCCCCGAATTACGATCCAGATCGCACAATGTTTCCAAACATGTCGCCATTATGGGAGAACTTGCACGGCTCGTAGAAGTCTGCTCACTCATGGATGTTTCACAATTCGAACAGGAATTGGCTTGTGCCGACGATCAAAATGCACATTGGAGAGAACTCATGCAAAAACTACAATCCGATGCCGTCAAAATTCCTGACAAACTACGACTCGGGTTGCTATTTGCTCTACGATACGAACTATCGGGGAATATACACATGCTGCAGTCGGCCATGGACAAAGCGGGCGTACCTCCCGATATGGTAGAATTGGTCAATGTCATGCTCAGATACGCAGGACACAAATCAAGAGGTCCGGGATTGTACGGGGAACATCACAATCTAATGAAGAAAATGACCAAGAGTTTCATCACCAGTGTCCAGGGCGTACAGAATGTCTATGCACAACATATCCCACTCCTCATGGACACCATTCAGTCCGTCATTCGAGGAAAACTGCCAACCAGCACACATCCATTGGTACCTGGGAGTGCCGATGTGGCCATGCAACCGGAAGCGGCAATACCAGAAGAAATACTGGTGTTTGTGGTGGGAGGTGTCACTTACGAAGAAGGAACCAAGGTCAGTGAGTTCAATCAGGCCCAGGCCAATCAAGGAGGAAGGTTTCGTGTCATTCTGGGAGGTAGTACGGTCCACAATAGCACCAGTTTCCTGGAGGAACTCAAGAGGACATCACTGTAACTTAAAGAAAATGAACGATAGACTTTTGTTTTTTGATGTCTGGCTGTTCCGTCTGCATGCGGCTATGCTGTGAGCCCAATGCTTGTGGAGCTGGTACCGTGCGGTAGCGCTACCGAAACGGAAAAAGGATTTCGATGAAGCGCACTTGCCTGGAAGAACCGTCTCAATTTCACGGAGCTCGAATTGTACAATTTCCAGGTGGCCAAGCAGAAGGCAATGGGCCGGAATGAGGCAAATCAGACACAAAAAACATCCAACTTTTAGCAACGTTAGTTATGGCAAACTAGCAGCGTTATGACTTAGGACAACCCTGTACTCTTCTTTAGCCTCGGAGAATAAGTCAAAACCAGTGGCGCAGTGTGGACACCACCAGTACAAAGATCAGCCTGGTGCTGTCCTTTGGCAACATAGCCACACTCCTCAGCATCAGGGAACGAGATAAAACTAGTGTGAACAGTGCCGATACTGTACAATGAATGCATTGCGTGCATGCAATCGTATCAAGATAGATCAGGCAGGTTGTTGTCGTTTGGATTTACGGTGTGTATCCCATTCACCCAAGATTCTGTAGAGAGAATACAACGATGTTTGGTTCTTAGTACTGGTAGTATGTTTGATTTTTAAGGCTCCATTCTCATCCTGAGGTACATGTACTTACTGGGTGCAACTATCGCCTCTGCAAACTCATCTGCGGTTTGCTTGTTCAATGAAAAGCCGAATCCAATCTTCCAACAGACCACCTAAACTAACTTTTACCATAGGTCAATTTCAATTGATCCTTGTTTGTCAGATTGAATCCATTCAATCCTTGCAGTGCCAGAGCAGCGCGTGGTTCATCCTCAAACTCCACAAATGCCAGTCCAGGCCGAGGCATTCGAACTTCCTTGAATCCGGCATACTGTCGAAACAACATGGAGAGCATCATTTCGTTGCACTCATCTGGCAGATCCTTGGCAAACAAGATGCGCGAAGGTTGAGCCGTTGGTTCGGAAGAGGCGGCAGCCGCATCACTTGCATCGCCCGCAGCATCCATAGGGGCATCCGCGGGAGTATTTGTCGTTTCAGCAGCAGCTGCTGCAACGGCCTTCTTCCGCTTGGCTTTGGGTACGTAGGTTCCATCTCGCTTGGCAATTCGATCCGATTTTTCCCGAGCATATTCGAGCATCAAATCCTTCCCAAAGAAAGTAAACCCCTGTTCCTTCTGCAACGCCGCTGTTGCCGACTGCACATCATTGTAAATGACGAAAGCCTGTCCTCTCAATCCTTCTCGTCTAAGGGTAATCACTTCAAGGACCTGTCACGAGAGCAAAAATGGGAGTGAGTGCATGAGTGACGAACAACGCACAAGATAGAAAGCCGACACAGATCAGACAACTAGCTGCAAAACGATCAAAGAGAGCCACTTCGACGACGTACCTTGCCATGGCGAGTGAACAGAGAGTACAAGGCTCGTCTCAGCAGAGGTTTCTTGATCTTCCAATCTATGTTTTTCACATAGAGAGTGGCGTTGGGCTGGGCTATCGCCGACATGGTCTAGCTAGCTAAAACAATATGATATTGAAGGATGGGCGACGGATTTATTTGAGCAGCCGTTCGGAGCGCCATTGTGCATGGACGGTTTGATGTCGATGTCGAAGTTTTGGTAGGACAGATGAACAGACGCTATTGAAACCGTTAGCCTTAAATAATTCAAGGCGCACAGTTGCCTATTCGCAAAGCTTCGGCAAAGATCTTGAACGACAACGAAATCGAAAGGCACACAATGAACAGCGTCCACAACCCAGAACCTCAAGAGACGACGGCATCGCATTCCTAAAATCCACATCGTTAGACACAAAGAGAAGATAGCAACATGTACTTGACCAGAAGCGAATACGATCGGGGTGTGAACACATTCTCTCCTGAAGGCCGTCTCTTTCAGGTGAGCGTCGAAAAGAAAGATCCCACATGAACTCCGATGGCAGTCATCGGCAGGATGCATGCTTCCATGTTGGATCTTGGGCCCTTACACTTGTCTGTTTCTCCTGCTTGTATGTATGTATCTATCTATCGTATTATAATAGGTCGAATATGCCATTGAAGCTATCAAGTTGGGTTCCACAGCTGTCGGGCTTCAAACCAAGGACGGCTGTGTCTTGGCCGTGGAAAAGCGCTTGACGTCTCCTCTTTTGGATCCAACCTCGGTGGAAAAAATTGCCGAGATTGACTCGCATGTGGGTGCTGCCATGAGTGGTCTCGTGGCCGATGCCCGAACTTTGGTCGAGCACGCACGTGTCGAAGCTCAGAATCACACATTTACCTACGATGAACCGATGGGAGTCGAAGCGTTGACTCAAGGTGAGTTACAAGAAGCAATCCTGCAGGTCCTCTTGCCTGATGTTCCATCTCATGCATTAATTTTTTTGATTTGATGATTCGATGTAGCCGTTTGTGATTTGGCTTTGAGTTTTGGGGAGGGCAGCGATGGTGATTCCAAAAAACGAATGTCTCGTCCTTTTGGTGTAGCGCTTCTTCTTGCTGGATACGACAGCATGGACGGGCCTCAGCTCTTCTTTAGTGATCCTTCGGGAACGTTTGTACGATACAAGGCTAAAGCCATTGGAGCTGGATCGGAAGGGGCCCAAAGCAATTTAGAAGAATCCTATTCCGAAACAATGACACTGGAAGAAGCCGAAGACTTGGCGCTCTCAACCCTCAAACAGGTCATGGAAGAAAAAATATCCACCGACAATATCGAACTGGCTCGAGCCACTGGAGACAAGGGGTTCCATATTGCTACTCCCGAAGAAGTGGCTGTCATATTGGAGCGACTATAGGTACTGTAGATTGGCAAGAGCGAGCACTCAATAACAACGCTGGAAGAAAGATCTAAAGTCTAGGAAGAATATCTACATCTCAACTTGGATGGGATTGAATAGGCACTACCTGTATGCTGTGGCTGGAAGCTAACTAGTCTAGTCATTGGCTTCCACTTCGGAAGCAACACGTTTTGCCTTCTTCTCTTTCTTCTTTTCCTTCTTCTCTGCCTTGGCGTGTTTCTTGGCCTCTTTCTTCTTCTTCTTTTCCTTCTTCTCCCCCTTGCTGGGTTTGACCGTTTGGCTTTGCAGCAGCATCAACTCGGCTTCCTTTTGCGCGGCCACAATGGCAGCATGAGCCGCGGCGCTGAGTGTCGAGCCTTGTGCCGCTGTTGCATTGGTTTCGGTTCCAATATCAGAACCAGTATCTTTGTCTTCAACCGGTGGTGCAGCTTGTTCGACTGGGTCTTCAACCGGTGGTGCAGCTTGTGAAACATCATTAGCTTCTTCCGAGACTTCTCCTTTTGGAGTCTGCGACGACGATTGGACCTCATCGCCAGCCTCTTTTTCGACGTCTGGTGCCCTGTCGTTCTCAGCCTTCGGCTCCTGATCCTTTTGATTGTCATCTGAACCAATGAAGAATTCCTCGTCGTCGCTGTCGTTTTGCGAGGCCGCCACCGGCTTGGGCGCCACTGGTGCTGCGTAGTCACCGTCGTCTGCTTCACTGACAAAGAACTCCTCGTCATCATTGCCTGCATTGTCAGGTAGAGGGTTGATGCTGCCCACACTTGCTGCTTGATCAACTTCACTTTGCTTCACCTCAGTGTCATCCACAAAGAAATCATCATCGTCTTCGTCAAAAGTAGTTGCTGCTTTGGGGGTATCAGCTTCTCCTTCGCCACGATTAGGCGGTTCGTCAGCATCATCACTCTTTCTAGCTTGGCCGGTGTCGGCCTCTGGCTCCTCGGTTGCGGTTGTCTCAGGGATCTTTTCTGCAGATCCGCCTTCCTTTGCTTCTATAGAATCAGCTTCGGCATTCTGTGCATTCGGAGGCTCAGCAGTGCCGTCATGCTCTGCACTGTTGTCGTCGTCTTCTTCAGTTTCCCTGCTGCTTGGTTGGTCACCATGGCCGCCAGGTACGCCGTCGGGCACTTGATCACCTCCATTGGGTTCCCCCTTGGTGTCGTCGTCACCCTCGCAAGGGTCTCCAAAGGAATCATGGTCGCCACCCTCAACTTTGGGCTCTGCTGTTGCACCCTTTTCACTATCGCCATTGACTGTTTCCTCAGAGCGGCCCTGGTCCGGAGTGACTGCGGCAGCTTGAGTGTTCTCATTGTCGACAGCTCGAGTCTCCTCGTGCTCGGACTCGTGCTCATCCTGAATGCCAGGTTCAGCCTTCGATGCCTGACTACCAGTAGACGACACCTCGTCCTCATCTTCCTCTTTTATCACTTCAGGTTTGGCTTGTTCACGTCGGTAAGAACCACGAGAGTTGGTGTTCGGTGGCGACTGTGTTTCTTCCTCTTGTGTTGACTTGTCCAGGTCTTGCAACGCTTCCTCATCGTAGAAGAAATCGTCATCGTCACTATCGTCTCTGGAGGTTTGTGATTTGATTGTTGCCTTTGTAGCTGCTGGTTCGTCCTCGTCGTCACTTGCCAAAAATGCTTCCAATGCATCCCTGGTGTTTCCGGGTGTTGGTGCTACTTGGTCAATCGTTGAGGGAGGGGCTTGTTCTTGCACATTAAGGATGTTTCTTCTTCGTCCCGCTGAATCATCTGTGCTGCTCGCAGCCCCTTCCAAATTAACCATTGGTCCAGCTCCATTGGCAACCCCGTTGGCAGCAAGTTGCTGCAATTGCGGCTTGTGACGACTAGCTTTTGGTGGCTTGGGTCCCTTGTAGGAAGGGGGAGGAGGTTGTGGATCTTCTGAGTAATCTTCAGCCTGATTGACCATTTTGAGAAAGTCCTTGTATTTCACACGTGGAACTTCCCGTGATTTGGCCAACTGTTCATCGACCAATGTGAGCTGAAATTCAAGCTCTTTTCGTTTTATGTGCATGAAAGTATCAAAAAGGAATTGATGTAGAGTGCTCAAACCGTAGCAATTGTACAATGATATGGTTCCAAATTGAATCAGAACTTGCTGTGGGTTCAGAATCTGTTCCGCAGATTGTTGCAGTAATGCTATAATCAATTGTTGTATCTCTCCTTCCTGGATCCCACCCTTTTTCTTACTATTGTGGACATCCCGAAAGTTGACCAGGAAACACATTCGCAGTGCTAACGTCGAAGGATCGCATTGTTGCTGTTCTATTGCCATTTTTTGGACTTGTATCAGGTCTGAAATGATCTTGGCAATGTGTATTTGAACCTGACGCGGGTCCTCTTTTGGATTGACCAAAACAATGACAAAATCAAGGCGATTCTCCATGTTCTGATAGAGTTCCTGTGTGGCTTCAACCTTGACTTGAACTCTTTCCATCAGCGAAAATCCATCAGGGGCTTGATAGGGTATGATGGCCCTAGTTGAGTTTTGCTCTGGCGATTGTTGTGGTTTTTGAAGTTCGTCATTGTCGAATGGATCCCTCCCCTTGAGTCTTTCGAGAAGTGTACGTTTTCCGACCTTTGGCAGCCCCAAGATGACGCCTTCCAGTGTTTTCACGGGAGTTGTGGGTGGCCTTGCCCTTTTTTGTGTGGGCCTTCTACCGGCTTGAGCATTCGTTTGTCGACCGCCTGGGTGACGACCGGGACGAGGGCCGGGGGAATATTGTCGATGTGATCCCGTTGGAGGTTGTCCCTCCTCATAAAAGACAGATTCTGTGGCACCCATCGTAAATGGATGATGAGCAGGATATAATGTGTACTGAGTAGAAGACTGAGGAATGAAGAGGAACCTTCTTTCGGTGTTGTAGATTCTCTGTTTCCACCCACTAGCCGACAAAGTCCTTCCTCCTACTAAGTTAAGGGAACATGAGTCGAGTCTCCTGGTTCCTCTCTAATAAGCAAAATGCAGTGAGGGTAGAATACTGCTATTATTGAACGGCACAGCGAACTCCATTGTCCTCGACGAGTGGAGATCCCGCCATTGCAGTTCCGGAAACAGGGGATAAAAAGATACAAACGTTTTACCCCTTCCCCCCATCTGTATTTCAGCCAGGCGAAATGTAGACGGCCACAAAATCAATTAATGAGCCACCGCGTTCGTACGTGTTGCCTTGTTGCCATGATTTTGAATGGACGGAGCATCAAATCAAAGTTGACGCAGAGAGCAACTTCGCTGCATCCCCGCTCTGAAACGATCAATTAAGCCTCCAACCATACCTGACAGCCATCAAGCTCGAAGTTTTTCTTTCAAAATCCAGAAGTATCGAGTATGAAGTTATTGAGACAAAGTCTGTTTGCCCTCATCGCTGCGGGATCAACTCGACGATCTGTAGCGTTTGTCACTCCCAAATTATTGCCACCAGTTTCCATTGCTAATAGCCGACTGTTCGAGTCAAAAGCAGGCACCACCGATGATATCCCCATGGCCGAAAAAGTCTTGATGGCACCCAAGTGGCCTCCAGAGTGGCCCTACTCGGACACTGATTTTGCTCGAATGGACGAAAGTGACGACAAGATCTTTTATGATCAACCGCGTTTGGTGTATCATATTGATGATCCTGCCGTAGAGGCATTAACCCAATATTACGCGGAAAACTTCAAGGATGGAGAAGATATCCTAGATATTTGCAGTTCCTGGGTGAGCCATTTTCCCAAAGAATTCAAGGGAGGAAATGTCGTTGGTTTGGGGATGAATGAGTATGAGTGAGTTTTTAGAGCTTTTTTCGTCTGGTCTTGCTTCTGTTTCTATTTCTATTCTCCTGACCAGGCACTGTTCGAACTTTAATAGATTGAGCCAAAACAAACAGCTTTCTTCCTTTGTTGTCGAGGATTTGAACGAAAAACCAGTTTTTCCGTTTGATGACGAATCTTTTGACAAAGTTACCTGCGTTGTGTCAGTCGACTATCTAAACAAACCATTGGAAGTCTTCAAAGAAATTGGGCGAGTCCTCCGACCTGGAGGGGAGTGCATTCTGTCCATGAGCAACCGATGGTAAGGTGGCCTGTTGGTGATGCTTTTGCTCGACTGTTTGGTTGGCTGGCTCACTAATCTCATTTCTACTATGCTCGTACACATATTTAGTTTCCCAACGAAGGCATTTCAAATTTGGCTTCAGACATCAGACCTGGAACACGTCTTCATTGCTGGATCGTTCTTCCATTACGCCGGGCTATTTGAGCCTCCCAGCAGCAAAGATATTTCGCCCAATCCAGGTCGAAGCGATCCTCTCTACATCGTCAAAGCGACCAAGAAATCATAGATTGCTGGTACCAGACTCCATCCCTCAAACGTTTGCTAATCTACAACAGAAAAGATTGCATGTTTAATGGCTTTCTAGAAAAGTTAAAAATCACAAAGCTGCATTATCTATAGTTTAGTATTCGCCAGCGGGAAACCCAGACTGAGTTGCCATGTGATCAATTTTGACTCCGTTTGCAGTGAACCCCAGCTTCAGCTTGAGCATGAGGTTCTTTGTTCCCAGCATAGAATTCGTCACATTAATTGTCTGAGTCACTTGCTTGTTGTTATTTCCACTGGGGGGCACGGTGGTTGATGTTGGTGGTTGCATTTCCAGTGTGACATACTTGGGAACTGCAACCTGCAGACTGAGCCCAACTATCGGGGCATTGGTCTGGTTTGTGAATTTTGCCAACAGGGTAGACTTCTGTTTGTTCCATTGATCAGGTTTCACGCACTCGAATTCTATTGACAAGCCTGAATGATTGGGTCCAGGCACCGTAATTGAGCTCGACTGAGGAGCAGGTGCGGGAGCTGCAGGGGTGGGTTGAGCCCCAAAGAGGTCACTTGCTGACGAAGGCTGTTGCTGTTGTTGCTGCTGAATAGGGGGCGCACCAAACAAATCCATTGGATTGACTGCTGCTGGTGCTGCTGGTTGAGGAGCAGGCGCAGGGGTGGCACCAAAAAGGTCGAGAGGATTCACAACGACTGGCGCTGCTGCGGCTTGTTGCTGAGCAGGGGGAGCCGAGAATGGGTCGTAGCCGCCCGCTGCTGGTGCAGGCGCGGGCTGAGCAGCAAAAATCTCGGACAGAAGATCCATGTCACTCTTTCCAGCATCACCCTGGGCAGCAGGCTTGCTGTCAAAGAGGCCGCCATTCTGTTGTGGAGCGGCGCTTGCTTCCCCACCACCCAACATATCAAAGTCCAACAAGTCGCCACCACCAGACTTGGTTCCCACTGCCGCTGGCGTAGAAACCGAATCCCCATCCGCACCGAAGCTTTCGCTTGTGGCCTGCTTTTTCTCCAGAACCTTCAAGTCAACCATGGGCATTCTTGCCAAAGCCTCCTTCGCAGCTTGAACGACAGCTGCAGTGACGGTGGGAGGAGCTCCATTTTCCACTCCAAAAATATCATCGCTGTTAACCTTCGGTGCCTTGGCAATGCCCTTAGTGGCATTGATCAAAGCATCGTACTCACAAGACCGTAACTGCAGTTCGAGTGAGTGCGAAGATTCGTGCTTTTTGATAAGGGTGTGCAGTTTCTCCAGAGCTGCCGCATCTCCTTTATCCCTGAAGCGGTCGCTCAACTTTGCAAAGCAGGTAAGCGCTCGGTGCTTCACATCGAGCGGACACGAGAGCCTTGACATGACTTCATGAACGGTGTCCACAACGTTGATCGGCTCTAATGCCATAAAGGTGATAGTGACAGGACTGGACAAGGAGTCCATGCCATCCGGGCCGACCTCGTTCGGAGCTGTGTAGGAGTAGGGTTGCAAGAGTAGATCGCCGTATTCGCCGATGCACCAAATACCCACAGCAAGGAGACCACGCTGAGTTCCGTCGTCGTCTCTAATAGCTTTCAACAGCTTGTGCGTTGCATAGGCATGGATGTCTTCTGCAGCTCGTGAAATGTACACTGCACAAGCACTTTGCACGTCCCGTGTTGACTCTCTTCCAGCAATGGTTAGCATAGTGATGAGTGTGTCGACCCTCCATCGATCGTTTGGACTGTATCGCTCCACGACGCGGAGCACGCGTGTACAAATATCCCCGCGGTGTTCCCGAGGACACAGAACCAAGTAATTGAGAAGCTCGGCTGTGAGCGTCTCGACGTTTTCGTGATTGACAAGGTGATAAATCAATTCGAGAGCTCTCATGCGGATACTGATATCGGGATCCTTCAGACAGTCCACCACCGTCTGTCTATGACGTTGCAGAGCCGATGAGGCGCTGTTTCCACCATCATCAGCTGGTACCGTGCTTCCGCGCCCGGATTGCTGTTGTTGTACAGTGCATCTCGCCAAAGTGTTCAAGGCAACGTATCGGATGTTGTTGTCACGATTGAGAAGGAATCGCCCCAGGATGTTGACGGCAAGCACGCGGAGTCCATCCTCGCTCTCTACACCCATGATAGTCTGGACACATTCATACAGAATGGCATTGCCGGCATTTTTCGATGTTTCCGTGTTTGTGGCCACCTGAGCCAGCACATCGTTCATTGCTTCCGAGGCCTTTTCGTTGTTGACTCCCAAAAGGCGAAGCAATGTCAAAAGCTGGACCTGCAGGAATGGATCCGAAATTCCACCCACATCATGATCAGGAGAAAAGCCACTGCTGAGAAGGTTTCGAAGCATCTTGACTAAGGTGGGCACCAAGCGGAGGAACGAAGCTCGACACTGGGTAGAAAACGGATCCTCGTCGTCCTCTTCGGCGTTGCGGTAGTCAATCATAAGGACTTGAGTCATAAGCTGGGCCACCGTAATTAAAACTCCGTGGCTCTTGTCTTTCAGCAACGTGACGATCCGGTCGACAAAATCTTCCACCATATCGGGACACTTGGCCAGGCACCTGACCATGGCAAGACAGGCTTTTTTCCTCAAATATGGCATTGGAGATTTCAAATGCTTATCCACCTCAGGAGCCAAGTCCCTGGACATATCGGCAGTTGCTAGATTTCCAATGGCACAGAGGGCCAAGCCAGCTACAAACTTGTTGTCCGCGTTCAAATCATTCTTCAGCGAGTTTGTGGCCAACATGAGCACATCGGCTTCTTCTGAGAGTAGTAGCATCATGCCTAGATAACCAATTCTCTTTTCAGGGAAGTGTGGAGAGGCTGTCAGCTTCATACACTCAAGTTGACCAAAGTGGGTTGGGTAGCCTAAAACCAAAAAATGATAATTTGAGTCTACCGAAGCAAGGATGACTATTATCGTATTCAAATACCCCTCGAATAGGAAAAAAGACTCTAATCATCCGCCAACGAGAAAGATCCAACAACACCGCCAGCAATGACATGGGCAACAACAAAAATCAAAGATAACGGGTGCTTACCGAGCATATGCATAAACAGAAGCTTCGCAACATTGCGGTGTCGATAATGCTCCTGTTCTTCTCGAATGGCTGTCCTGATCATTGCCGACTCCTTGGCAATGACTGCGCGCTCCTCGGCAGCCGTCTTGCAAGCCCTGACCTTGCGGATAAGGTCTCTTAGTTTCATAGACATCTTGAAATCGTCTCTTGTTGCTGCTCCTTTTATAAACCAAAGTTAATGGGGCGCCAATGCCAATACAACAACAAACAAGTGCTGGGTATCCCAACAAGGTCGTGAGAGATCCTCGCTGTTGGGCCTGATGCTGTGAGTGAATGAGCAGTGAATGGAGCCAAGATCCAACGAAGGAGGCCCGCTCCTGCCAGACTGTCTGACCGCCGTCCGTGCCAGATTTCGGTCATTGGCATTGGCATCCGTGCAACGTGCAACCAAGCGGCCGATACGGCCATGGCATGGCATGGTTAGTGAGCTGGCTCTGCGGAGCTGCAATGCATGCATTGTAGATGTCTGGCTATGGTAGCTACAGCTGTAGGTACATGTAGAAGAAGCCTGGGATGATAAGGCGTGAGACAAGCGAAAGGTTCAATTTGAGGCTAAGGCAGAGGCCGCTTTGCTGTCGAAACGAAAAACTACTATCATGGCATATGATATAGCCACCCCGTGGCCGTAGATTGCTAATCTAGCTAGGAAACCCTTGACGACAAACCTTGATAGATCAATGCCAAAGACGCGAGGGACGGTATCTGATGCAGGTTGCGGCAAATTGGACCAGACAGACCGTGACAGCATCTATAGCACGCAATAGATCTTGATACGAGACGAAGGGTTTGCTCCATTTGTTTTCTAACTAATAGAGCAATGGTCGCATGAACCAAAGCTGCAAGCCTTCCAGCGACATGTCATTCATTCAATGCTACTTGACTAAATGTTTAAATGTCTATGGGAAAGACCGATACTTGTGAATGCTTTCATGGTCAAAAGGTCAATGCTTAGTCCACAAAGAGTGCCGGATTGTGGTGCAGTGCATTGGTTGATCTCCGATTGGTTTCTGTTCAGAAGTCAACGAACCAACACACAACCCGTAGAATTGATTCCGGGCGACGCTAGATGCTGTTGCGAAGCCTCCTTCCTCCTCCGATACAAGCAGTTTATCGTCTCTTCGATCCACGCCAAGGAGAATGGAAACTAAACACAGGGACAAACTTGTTGATTTCATCCTTTTGCTGTTGGAGGATGCACTCGGAAATCCAGACCAAGTTACGAATTTCTTGCTCCTTGAGCTTTGCGTAGGCGTAAAAAACACCAAAATGAAATTGGCTTTCGAATGCCAACTCGAGAGATTGGACATCACGCTCGTAAAAGACATCGTCAATGCTCTTGTCTCCTCCCGAAGCGTGCATGCTCCAGATTGCAGCATACTGAGGAAAGAGATCCAATACACGTCCTAGCTCTTCTTCGTTGGAAACTTCGGTCAATTCCGTCGTACCAGCTGGGTAAAGGTGCCCCACAGCAGGGTACAATCGCTTGCGATCCGAGGAGCGCATGGCCGGTTCGTTCAGGGGAGTGCCAAACGAGTTGAGCGTAATGTTGATCGCGTTGGTGTCGGCACGGACGCGAAGCAATTCACCCATGATATCGGCAGTCTCGCCTCCGATTTTCTGGACAAAGTGGTAGAAATCTTCGATCCAGTACTTGATCAAAGAAGACTTGATAATTTCAATCTCCACTTCCTCCAAAACATGACGAGCATCAGTGCCCTGGTGCTCCGAACTTTCCTGCAAGAACATGGCAAAGTAAGGACCAACAGGAGTATCAACAAGCACCGTTTGGTACAAGTCGGCGTATCCCCTGGCGGAGTTTTCGAATGTTGGAATGCTACGCATGGTACTCTCCTTGAACATTCCAAGAGGATGGCACTGCTCGATGAGCTCATTGATATCCCTTCCGCTGAGAGCCCCCTTCAACAACAGCATGACATTCTCGATCATGTATTCATAGGTGATGAAATCGAGAAAGGTGGCTAGTGGCTCCACTGATTGTGTTCGCAAGTACTTGAACTCCGTCACCAACTGCGGCACAAGAGAACAAAAGGATCAGCCCATAAACACTCACGAATCAATCATTTTTAGTTGATCCTTGTCATTTCTGTACACACCTTTTCAATTGCGGCTTTCTGCAGAACAGCGGGTGTAATAGCGTTGAAGTCAGCAATAGCATCGCCATAGTCCGTCTCGGTCAAGTTCAGGCGCACATCATCCAGAGTCTCGCATTGCGTCAAATGATGATAATCCTGATCGCCAAGGAAAGACGATCGCATACCACGAACCAGAGCCTCCGGAAATCCATGGAGGATGTTGAATGTGGCGATATTGCCAGCGGCGGCTTGGGGAGCTGGAGTGGACATGGTCTACTACTCAACAACAGGACAAACAATAGCACAACAGCAAAGAGATGTCGGGTGGATTGTTGTCGAGGCAGTCTCAGTGGACGATGGAAACAAGGAAGGGATCCTCGGGGGAGCGTTGGCTTTATTCGTCTTCAGACATGAAGAAGTCATATGATTTCGCGAAGGAGAGGCAAGCTCGCAGAAAGCTGTCATGCGCGTATGCTGATAGAGTTAAGGCTTTAATACGGAAGGTTTATGCGGCGGCGCTGTTCCATGGACATACCAGCACATCATGTAAAAACACAACCAAAACTAAAACCATAGAGAACCCCCATTTGCTGTTCACTGTGTAGGTGTACATAGAACTACATGGGCGGCCTAGTTCTCAACCCCAAAATGAATTGGATGACAAACTTGGTGATCTCGCTGCCAAGGTATTCATCCCTACTGCAGTCTGCCAGGAACCCTGTATCCATCTTTGTCATTCTGCAGCTCAGATGCCTCCCAGCAACTCTCCTCCTGTTCTCACGGCATCGGATGAACCAGGCAATCTCGTTATCTGTGGCCTCTGGCAACGTGGAACTGGCAGCATTATTGATGTTCGAATCATGTTCGCATCATCAATCTCAATGATGTTTCTCATAGTTGCAAGGATCTTCACAAGGTCCTTCGCTCGCAATGGCAAACGTTGAAAGTATCTCCAGTCCTGTCTCTCCCAACACCGCCACTTTACCCAACCCCATTTGTTGTCTCTGATGATGGCCTCCTTGGTACCAAATCTCAGACACTCGTCAAACGTATTGCCGCTTTGCTCGCTGCAAAGTGGTCCCTTACTCCACCGTGTGTGGCTGCGTTAATGCTCCACCCAGCCCAGCTATTGTTCCGGCCGCCACCTCTGCATGTGCGGCTCCTGTGTCCTTGCTGGCACCATGAGCTACTACCGCTTCATCTGGGATGCAGATGGCGCAATTGCCCTCTTGTGCTAATCTTGCCCTCCCTTGCCCCTTCCCAACTTCCCCTTATGATTCCTGTTAGTTGCTCTAAGCTCTCTAGTTTACTTGCTATTGAGATACTACTGAAAAAGTGGGTGGGGTACCAGCTTTTACTACTGGCATCAAATTCTAGTACAGAGGTACAGGTTGAATCCCTAATCGCGAATCCCCAACACACTCCTGTGGTCGTCGAGCTTGTCCTAGTCGTCGACCATGCTTACTTACTTACTGCGCTTAGCGCTCCTTCTTTGAACGGACCTTCTTGTATCCGACCGTGACCCTCCTTTGAGTGCCCTGGCTCTGAGTGTTCCACAACACCCATCAACTTGTCCACGTTCTGTTTGAACAGTCGACCTTGGTCGGCTTCGTCCAGAAGTCCGCAACCATATCATCAGTTGGACACCAGTCCACACTGATCTCCTTCTTTGCGACTCTGTCGCTCACAAAGAGTACCTAATGTTGATGTTCTTCGTTCGTTTACTACTAGAAGCTTTGCCGTTCTTCTCTAGAAGAATGGCACTCTTGTTGTCCTGATAGACTATAGTTTCTTTAACTACATAGCCTTGCTCCCGAAGGAACTGCCTCGTCCAAAGGATCGATGGCATCAGGTCATCAACTGCTACGAGTTCACTCTCAGTTGAGCTTCTCGTGTTCAACTTCTGTTTCGTCGAAGTCGATAATGGGTAACCGGTGCCCATGGTCAAACCACCTCCGTGTGACCCCTCATGTTTGGATGGACTCCGAAGGAACCATCAACATACCATTTCAATATGCCCTTCCGTCGGCTTTGAGAACTAAAGGTAGTTTTCTAGTACGTCTAATGTACTGCATGAGGTGGACTAGTTTATCCCAATCGTGCCTACTGGTTCCTTGACTCTAGTCGTAAGGAACGATATCGCCGTACCTGTGTCTGGTCGGGTCTCTCTTCGTAGCGAATAACACCTTTAGCCACCAGGCTGTGAAAGTGTCTGCCTTGCTCTTGGGAGCTTCTTGCAGTATTCGTCTACTGTGAATATTCTTTCGGGGCTGCACTATTCTAGTTTTCGTGCCCCTTCCTCTGGCGATAGCCTTCTCGAGGTTTCCAGGATTTCATCAACGTACTTGTACATTGATACGTTGCATTGACCCTTCGTCGTGAAGTCTATGGTCATGCCAGATACGTTTGGACCTTTCCTCGGCTCACCGTCATCTCTCCAGTGCCGTCCTCGAATATGCTTTCGTATTCATCACGAAGCACTTGGATCAGCTGGTCGTTAACCTTCGAGTCCTTGTGGCTAAGCTTACAGTCGTCTACATGCCAGCAGACTGTTTGTTGCTTGCCGTGCACCATTCTGTTGGCTACACAGGGGTCGTAAGGATTAATCTTAAATCCGTTCCGGACCATCGTCTTCGGAACTTACGGTAGTATAAGTAGGCTAGCTACCATAGTGCCGTAGATGGCATTCAGCATTGCAGTAGCAACTGCTTGTTGCCTTTCTTATCCGTTGTTACGAACGTGTTTGTAGACATCTGGGGCTATTTCACACAGCATGTCTACTAGTACTCCTCTTACTCTAATTATTACTGTCTTTTTCATCCTCGACTCTTGTCTGGATGAAGGCGTTCGGGATGTCAATTACTGCCACATCCTTTCCTCTTCAGCGTCGATTATGCAGGATAGTAGCACTGCTTCTGTCGACACTGTTGGCGAGTTTGCGTCTTCCTTGGAGATGAAGTCACGCTGTTTGTTGCCTCCTGCAACCGCTCGGCCTTTGATCTTCCCGTTCCTTTTCAACTTTAGGAACAGGTGTGACTCTAGGATACTCTTGCGTTCCATTCGCTGAGTTCTTCCATTTTCTTCGGACGGAAGGTATCCCTGAGATGTAACTGTTTCATCTCGGCAAAGGCTGCATCGTGCGCTTTGTCCTTCCACTCACTTGAGTCCAGCCTTCAATGACAACTGTGTCATGATGGCTGCTACCACATCAGTTCTTTCTTCTACCTGTGTGTAGAACATGTGTGCATCTGGGTGCAAGACACGTTCAGTTGTTGGACGTTGTCGTCTCATACTTTTTCCATCAAAGCTGGAATATCGATTCCTTGCTTGTGTCCTCACTTATAGACCGCGCATCCTGGCGTCTGTGGTCGCTTGGGTTGTACCACTCCTGGGATCTGTACAGGGGCTGTTGGTCCGTAGTAGGTTTCGGTCCTACGTTTCGACGATAGGTAACTCGTTTCGATTTTGTGTTCAACTGATTTCAGTTCGTTCTTCGCTGTCGTCGTCGTTGACGTGTCCTGGGGATCGTCGGGATCATCTGCCATTTCGTCAATGGTTTCAGCATCCGCGTCCAGGTCCTCATCGGTTTGGATCATTGGTAGTGGGGGTGCGTCATTGTCTTTCTTCCCCGTCCACTCCTGTGATCTCGACATCACCAATGGGTCTATTTTTTCGATCAGTAAAAACGAGTAGTTTAGGCTGATCTTTTCCTAATAGATTGACTCTAGCTATCACTGTGTCGGGCATTGGGATCTTGTCCCATGATGCCGAGTAATTTTCTTGCCGGAGCGGAGGCTCATAAATTTGTAGCCCCTTGCTTATTTCCGCTCGTTCCCATACAGATGCCGCCTTTGTGCGTCCTACCATGCTGTTACGGGGCGAGTCTTCTTCGTGCACCTGGCAGTAGTCTCCGAACTGCAGGCTCAGGTCTTTTTATAGTCCAGGGACTCTCCCATCATTATCATACGGGGGCTCATTGTCTCGCTGACCCCCCTTACTTGGAAAGTACGTCAACTGTTTGACGACTTGTAACACCTTAGACGGTTAATATTTGCATGCGTGAAACGGTAGGCTATGCCGGACAGCTCGTGTTCCTTTCCTTGACTACCCGGATTCTACGTTCGATCTCGGGTACGTGCTCGTTAGCACTGGCAACGTTCACTACCGGTCCACCGGCATTGCCATGATTGTGTTGGACAGAGGCTCAAACTCATTGTCCACATGAATGGTCGTGATTCTAAAACCACGAGCCTTGTAGAATCGATAGACCTCCTGGACTGCGTCTAGGATGGTCTCTAGCTTCCTGTTGGGCAGGTGTCTAGATGTTGTAAAATCGATTTTACGGCTTAGCGTTAACAGGAACGGAATTCCTGCCACAAAGAAAATGTCCATCGTTAGGAACACATCCTTGTGTAATTGCAAAAGTCTCTCGGACTTTCATTGCATTGCCTGCCACTGCGTTCGGTTTCGTACGAGTGGTCTTCTTTTCAACGCATCAATATCCTTGCCCCATATGGCTTGTGCCTGTCGATGTCTTCAACGGTCACTGGGCAATTTGCGATTTGATTGCTCATAATCGCCCATCGAAAATCTTTAATCGATGATAGACGAGTTGCTTATATAGCAGCTTCGCCCTTGATGCGGCTTTAACTTGTCGTTGTCTGAAGCCTTCTTCTTTTTCGGCGACAGTATTCACAAGTGCCTTCCCTTTTTTCCTAGGGTCATGAACGTGTAATCCTTCACTGTTCATTTCGTATACTACGTCCGGTAGGCTGGTCAATGACTGTGTAGTTCCTTTCGGACAGTCATATACGATGTTGCAATTCTTGCAGACATTCTTAACAGTAAGATTTCGTGATTCTCTTTCATCGACCATACTCTCTGTTTGTGGCCAGCTAACTTGGCTGTGTCTGGACCTTCAGCTTGCCTCGGTACTCTTCACTGTAATTGGACGATCGGTTTCCTGATGTCGGTAACCATGTCTTTATTACAGAATAATCCAACGTGGACTGGTTGTCCAGTAGTGGATCTCTCTCATATCTATGTCGTCCAATCCTTTTGTGTGGGCGACTATGCCTTGCTTAGTCGGTTCTTCGTTTCCGTCTTCGTTCCGTCCGCGAATAGCGGTACGTCGAACGTAACGAAACTTTTTCGACTTTCTCTTCATCTGACTGCGTGATGTCAGAGTCGGCATATCCTGTTCTTCCTCCAGGGTTTTCAATGCTGTCGTCATTTTATCTTGCAGTTTGCTGATAGTAGCTAGGGTTCTCCTTTGATGCTACTAGAGCTTTTCTTGCTCGACGTGCTTGACTTGCTACGCTTGCTCGACTTGCTTAGACTTGTCTCGTCTTTGTCTTTCTTTTCTTTATTTTGTCAGGACCAGTGCGAGGCTGGATGTCCTTTATCGTGGCAGGAAAAGCATTCTTTCTCTTTCCAGTATCGCTTTTCCTCTGCGCACCACACCCCGTCCTCTCCCGCCTTGTGCTGTCTGAGCAAAGGAGCTTCCGTGGGAAGTGGACTGTCGTGGTGTTTACTCTTGGGTGTTTGTCAGTGTAATACCTCATGTAACGTGGGGGAGAGTTATCAGTGCCTTTGGCAAAGTCGTCCTCAGGTTCTGTTTTAGCTTGTATTTTTCGGCTGAACTATTTGTTAAGAAGATGTAACTATAGTACGTTCTTCAGCGTATTCCGAGACTTTCTTCTGGTCATCGGCTCCTAGGTCATCGTATGCTGTGTTTGGGTTGAGTAGTTTGCCGTATGAGCAGGGCTGCATCGTGTATCTTGGAATACCCACGGATTTTGCAATGTCCTTTTTCGTGGTAAATTGCTGTGGTATTCGGAAGCGGTAGGCTCCTTGTGGATTAGTTGTTGTTTTCCAGTTGGAATAATGTGTGGTACAAATTATCATCGGTCTGGCGCATGATCGTCTTATGGATCATTTTTCGTAGCTCCAGTGGTCGCATCTTAACAGGACGTCTTCGTAGTCCGTGTTCTGCTTCATCTTGTCCTTTATAGTGGGTGCACTGCCCTAGGAACAAGTTGAAAGCTTTGCCCTATTTTCTTGTAGTTTTCCAACCTCGTAAGGTGGGTCTTCATCAGCCCTGCATACTCTGCTCTCTCGAGTCCGCCGAGTTCCTCGTCCGTGGATCTTCTATGGCTGCAGTGAGGTTGGCTATTTCATTTCGAGTTTTGCTTTCTCTATCGTTAGTGTGCGTAAGCTACCTGAGATGTTCATGACCTCTGCTCTATTGTTTCCAGTAGCTCTAGGCTTTCTCGGTCGCCGTTAGGAGACGAAGGTTGTTCTGTTCACGTCTTCCGCTGCGGCGTCAAGCCGTTCCGGGTCTCCTCTGAGTACACCGGTGCTACCAACCTGTCTGTTTCAGGTTGCGTAGCTCATTGCTATGTCGTCACCCATCGTTTGGCCAACGTGGATGACGATCTTCTCCCATGTGCGTATCATCTGGTCTGCCGTTCCAGATCCAGTTGTACCGAAGTAAACACATGTTGGTCGAGGGTTTGCATGAACCTTTCTGCTGGTCGACGATGGGCTGGTTCTCCATGTCCTCGTGCTTTCCGCCTCCTCGGCCACCTCGTCCTTTACCTCTACCGCTCATTGTCTATGCTACGGTAGGTGGGCTATTTCAATTCGTTGTTTTTGATTGACTAGCTCTTTTAATTAATTCTCGTCCGACTACTTATTCGTCTTATGGCTATGGGGCGATAAACTTCAAATTATCTCCTGGCTAGGAGTGTTAAATCTATTTACTAAAGATCTTGCAGGGAGGGAACGATTGCTTCACACATGTGCGGTCGTTTCCACTCCGAACCCGTTTCTTTGTATGTTGATTCCTTGTTGGGTGCCTTTCCTTTGGCCCCTGCGCTGGCACTTTGGCTTTCGCGCTTTGTTGTTGGCTCTGACAGTTCCGGCTGGATGCTGTCGGCTCTCTCGGCAATCCTTGTGGATTCTGCCGATGAACTCTTGCTGCTGCGTCGCTGACCGATACTCGCGTCGTCGTGGCTGCCTCGAAACTCTTCGTCGGCTTGGATGCAGTCTCCTCTCGATCCGTCTTCGGATCTTCACTCGTTTGCTGTCGTTCGTTCGACGCTTCTTCTCTTCGGTCTTGTACCGATGCCGTCGTCGTCGTCGACGGTCTTCTCTGTTGCTGTCGATGCTTCGACAGGCTTGGCTCTTATCGTCTCGCAATCCGTCTCGATCCTTGCGTCGTCGCGAGTCGGTCTTCTTCTCGCGTCGCGTTCGGCGTCGGCCGAACTCGCTGCTTCCTGCTCGATTAGCTCTCTTCGATAGTCTCTTCGCTGCTTCGCTTCGATAGTAGACCACTGCTATTCGTGATAGCAGCCTTTTTCAGTAGTTGTTACTGTTTCTTTATTGAGATACTACTGAAAAAGTGGGTGGGGTACCAGCTTTTACTACTGGCATCAAATTCTAGTACAGAGGTACAGGTTGAATCCCTAATCGCGATCCCACAATTCCTTCTTTCGTCCCTCTCTTCCACTTTCCTTCCCTCTGCACCACCCTCTCCCTGCCATTTCCCACACGGCTGCCCTACTCTGCCTAGCTTAGCCCCCTCGCTCCTTAACCCATTTTTATTCAGTGATTTCCAGTTTCATGTTCATGTAGAAACACTACTAGTAGCTAGAACTGGGTGACATGAATGACACGGATGAGGTCAGAGAAGTCAAGGGATTGCAAGATTCAATCACTCATGACTCAACCAAGCTTGCTAGCTAGCGAGCTACTAGCTAGTAGGGCGAATCTCCCGCAAGGTCCGAAACATCTGTCTGTCCATTTGTGGGACGCTGGTAAGCGAAAGACGCAGACGGCGAATGCTGAAAAACGCGTTTTTTTTTTTTCACAGTCGAAATAGCTTGTTTGTTCCCACCTTTCCATGTCTTCATCCTCGAGATTTGTCAGCTGAAAGCTGGGTGGGTCTTTGCTAAGTCCAAGGTGGTTTCTGGTAGCTTTCTGGTGGTACTTGTACCGTAGGTGTAATCAACTAAGTGCAGCCACCTCCAACTGGCCCCGGTAGTTGATGAGTCGAGATCCACACTACGGTACATTTATTCGGACCAAAAAGTGCGTGAGACTTCAGAAGGCGAAAGCTAGCCTATGGTGTCACACGCGAATGTTTGACCTTTCCAATGTCTATCTCGGTGTTGTTCTGTCTGTAGGAAAAAGCTTGGTGGGAGTTGCACTCAAGCTAACTCCAGGGCTTGTTTATCCCGCTAAAAGCTCTACGGCAGCTAGATCTAGTGTAATTGAGCGATATGGCTGAAAAGATGTATTGATTTCTATCCTAGAGTTACTGGCAGGTTTTATTAGGCACTTTACACAGGGCTATCCAAGAAGAGTCCGAGCAAACATAGAATATTGGTACAGGGCATCGAAAGCAACTCTTGTCACTCTTTTAAGATTCCTCCAAGCAGTCGAAAAGATCAAGGGATGTGCTACTGCATCTTATCCTATCGTCAAGGTTACTAAACGGTTGGCCATACCACACCCCAGATCTTGAAAGCGGCGGATGCTTGATCGCGTGCGTTAACGAGCCGATAAGGTGACTTCAAAGGCTGAAGCGCAATCCCTCAACCGAGACTCCATTCGAGGTCGGGTCCTTAGCCTGAGCCCAGGAATCCTGACCGTCGAAGATTCTGTCGAGACGCGCAGAAGAGAAGACAACAGGATCAGTCAAAATGCCCCCGTAACCAACTCGAGTAACCAACTGCATCCAACTTACATCTGTCATGATGATGGTTCTCGTTGAATCCAACACAAATTCCACTGTACGAGGTTGTAAAAACGGGAAACGGTAAGATCAGATCATTCGACAACCAATTTCATTCTGCCTCGAGTCTCAAGTTCCCACGTTCACTTACTATTGTTGGTGTCTGTTGCACATGTCACATGAATAAACGAGTCGTTGAAGTCGTCGTCGATCAGACAATCTTTGAACTTTTGTATGAAATATAGAACACCGTTGTTGAAGTCCTTCGGAGGTCCGGGGTAGTCGCTGAATGGCTTTTGGGTCGCTATGTCACTGTACAGGAGCTTCTCTGCGAAGATATCCTTCTTGTTTAAGAAAAGCATGATGGAAGTGTTGGCAAAGGCTCGGTTGTTACAAACTGATCGAAACAGATCCAGTGCTTCCACCATTCGATTTGTTCTCTTTGCTTCTGCGAGTGCTTGATCATACTCCGACAGTGCGGCAACAAAAATGACAGCATCCACATTCTCAAAACAGTCGATCCATTTACGTCTTTCGGATCTTTGTCCTCCTACATCATACATTTCGAACTCGATACCGTCGATTCGGTACCGTTCCATCACTACTTGGGTTGTCTTGACACGAGCCAGAAGGACGTCCTGGGTCGTTGGTTTGAAATTTGGTGACGCTAGCCGCGTAAGGTCCTGCAAGAATTCTTTGTGACCGTCAATAACATTGACTTGGGCGCGTTTTGACCAGACTTCTTTCATTGTTTTGGACTATCATGATATGCATGCATGAACGAGGACAGCCGCAAGAGAAGAGAGTCATCAAAGTGGGTCAGCCAAAGCATCATGATGAACAGCCAGACCCTCCGGACACTTCGGACGCTTCACTTGATTTGACTTACATCCCATAAGATTTTGATTGGTTTCCATAATTGAAGAAATTGCTTAGCATCGTTGTTGGCACCCAGACCGGCTCTAGCCACATTGCCGACCCAGTCCTTGCTGTCCCCATTCGGTGTTTCCAGGTCGTCCGGGTTCCCGGTGTTGTCAATTAGATGTGCTACTATCAGATCATATGCGCCCTTTGGGGTCATTCCACCATCTTCTGGTGCGGGATCTTCTCCTAGCTGTCCTTCCATCTCCAGGGCTCTCAAGAGTCCACACAGTTTTCTCATTGCAGTAATGACATTCGATCTTATCACCACCCCATACATCCTGAGGTCGTCGTCGGATCTCTGTGATCCATAGAGAATTCTCATCTGTTTGAAAATGGTTGACTTTCCTGATTCACCCGCCCCTAACAGCAGTAGCTTGACCTTTAGTTCCTCCTGTTGCCGCGCTCGATCTAACTCCCGATCAATTCCGGACGACTTGGCCATTTCCGCTGGGTCATCTGGCACCGGTCTCCTTTGTACGGCAGACTCTGATGCAGCGGCTCCTGCTGGTGCCTCTGGTTGAGATGCTCCACAACCCATGGTGGTGGTCTATTCTATACGGTATGAAGATCGGATGTATTGTGGAATCGAAGCTTTCAGCTCGGAACGCCGACTGTCTGCACACCAACCAACGCCTGCTTATGAACAGAGCTGATCTGATCTGTTGCTGTTGTTCCCAGAAGAGGGAGTAGAAGGCAACAAGACCACACCAAGAAGTCTACTGGGCTGGATCACTGCTTCGGCGGAATGATATGATCCACGAAACGTATGTGCCGATGAAAACAACTCGTGCTTTCCCACGTCTTGTCCGGTTGTTGCTTTGTCCGAAACCTTCAATGGCCTTGCTTGCGCTGCCGCCAGCGCTGGACTCCGTCTCTACGACGACCGACTATCTGTATGGCGTGTTAGAGGCAGAGAGTGTTGTTGTGTTTGGTGTGGTAGGTATGTGTCTGTATGGTATTGGCAAGGATAAGTAAGTAAAAAGAGAGAGAGTGGTTAGTGCAGGGCTATCGCGCTGCTGTGGCTAGAAAATCTCCACCGTAAAAGTCACAGTACAGAAAGTACTGGAGACCCGGCTTTATGACCTCAAGCGAAAAAAATTGCTCTCGGTCACTACAGCATCGTCGGCACCGCTGGTGCACCTCTGCTTCTCCTGTTGTTGTTACCCACCTCAACGACGACTCTACTAACACCCAACAACAACTACTACTCTATGTTCCAAGGGATGATGACTCTACCCGCTGCTACTACACAGGTCGCCACAGAGACAAAAGCTTTTGCCTGTTGTTTCCACGCAAGGGATCAAGCAGGAGGAGTGGATGACACGAAAAGGCACTGCATGCAGGAGCTGAAGCCGATGCGGCCTTGAAACGAGACAGAGGATTTTTATCGTCAGCCAGCCTACGCACAATCCATACGTTGGGCTAAATCTTTTCATCTGAAATATTGCTATTTAAGGACGGATGGCTGACCACGACGGCGTTCTATGCTTAGTGTTAAGGATATTTTGTGCAGCAGTCATTGCTTTGGGGTGCTGGCAAACATGAGATCAAAGCATGAAAAGCAGTCCTTCGTTAATGCCTTATTAATGATTTGGGTTTAGCAATTCCAGTCAATTGGATCCATTAGATTTAAGCGTCAAAAGGCTTCTAGAGTTTACTGTAAACTTTTAGTTGCCCCAGGTGGTGTTACCGCTTACTAAAAACTGAACCTCGGCTCGTCTTCCGCTCCACTCACCACCAGCATCCCGCCCCACCAGCATCCAGTTCATCATCGTTATCGCCTCTTGCAACCAACCCTGCTGGCAACGTCTTGTCCTCTACAACAGTTTGCGAAAAGGTAAGAATGGAGATGGCACTGATGGGATTTCAATGAGAGTACCTTGTGTTCAACCATGGGGTGCCTATCCCCCCGCTGGTATCGCCGACATGGACTGTTTGTGGTTTCGTCGTCATCATTCTAACTTTGTGTTCGTTGTGGTCGCTCCCTTTTTGTCACAGAAGATATATTCACAATGGCCGAGACACGCAAACCCAACAAGCTGTACTGCACCCACCCCAAAAATTATGGAAAGGGATCTCGAGCATGCCGAGTGACCGGACGTGATGGAGGTATGGGACTCATCCGAAAGTATGGAATCAACATGAAGAGACAGGTCTTTCGTGAGCGAGCAACCGACATGGGATGGATCAAGTACAGCTGAAGTGCTTTTGTTCGATAGAGCAAAGTAAAATAGAAGAAATCGAGGCGTGACTATTACAGGAGTGCGTATCCTTTCGTTGGTAGCACTGTTCATTTCATTCAATCTACTTGTCGAGAAAAACGGCTGTTGGAGGCTCCCCGTCTTGTATCACTCATTAGCCACGTAGATCGGCAACGCTTCAAGGGTGGTGCTTTACCCTGGGTGGGAAAACTGTGATTTCTGCCTCTGTACGAGCACTATCCCAGTGCTGGTCGACCTAGCCACCATCAGTCTTGTACCCAACTATCTAGATGTGGCTATCTCTTTCGTCCTTGGCAGATTAGTAGAGATGAGGTGTCCTGCGCTTCGTCGGCCGAACAAAAGGAAATCTACCAGCTAGCTAGTTTTTCTATCACTTCACAAGGCCGATTTCTCGACGGTACCAGTGGCTTACCGTCTTTTCGTTGTGATGGGGCTGCTGACCAGGCAGGCCCACCAACGATGGTTGCAACCGGACTCTGGCTCTCTCGTCCTTCCATGTAGAAGTCGACTATCACCTGCATTGTTTGGCATTCCAAATCAAGCCGGTAGTAGCCGGTAGTAGCCGGTACTGGTACCCAGATTGGGGGTGATATGACCTTCCCGACCAATGACATTCGTACAGTAGTAAGGACCTGGAGACCGATTGTCGGCAAACGAACTTTGCCTGCTTGAAACTCAAGCAAGACCTTCGGCCCAATCACGACGGTAACCGGTACGGTACATGGTAGCATTACCGTACACTACCCCAAAGGTGCAAATCCCTATCTTTGCTAAGAATCTATCTCTATAATGTCGGCTACTGGTGGTGGCAGTGTTCTGTCGCCTTCTGTCTCTTTGCTATCTAGAGAAGGATGCTGCCCTGGCCTCACTCCTACTCACCAGACAGCTGAAGCGCAAGGTTTCAGATGTCTGCGGCATGAGTTGTCGGAGTGCTTTGTAATTGCTGTTCTGAGCAAAACTTGTCACCAAATACAATATTATCTATATGAATTGTGGGAATGGAAAAGGATGCTTCGAACAGCCACTTTTTTGTTTGTTTTCTAGTCAAGCAGATATGAATTCTAACCACGGTCACGTACACCGTGGCGAAGTCTGTCTTGACTGTCATTCACAAGCGAAAAGCAGTTAGTTGTACCTGGGCAAATTCCCCTCCATATCCCCTTTCTATCCTTCTTTTTATTGAGTTGTCAATTTCTTGGGGACATCATCCTCCAAGAGTTTTTCAATGGCATCTGCGAGACTCAAGGGTTCCGTCTTCTTGTCAAACATTTCGACTGCAATTCCCTTGCGGTTGACAAGGTACTTGAAGAAGTTGTGTCTGACGTAGCTATTGGGGAGTTGTCGTTGGAATTTCAAGTAGACAGGATTGGCAGCCAGAGAGGATTTACCAAAGATGGGAAAATTGACTTGTGGAAATTCTTCCTTGACAAAGAGTTGAATTTCTTCATTGGTGCCACGTTCTTGATGAAAATCATTCGTCGGGAAAGCAAGCACCGTAAAGCCGCGATCGGCATATTTGTCTTGAAGCTCTGCCAGCTGAGTGTACGACAACTCCGTTTTGCCTCATTGAGAAGCCACGTTGACGACGAGCGCTACATTGCCGCTGAAGTCTTCCAATGACACCTTTTCGCCGTCGCAATCTTCGACACTGACATGGTAAATGGAGTCGGGTGGCAACATGGACGGGTTGCGAAAGAATTTGGTTCGTTTCAAAACGCGCGATCGCAGGTACTGCACTCCTGGTCCCAGCGGGTCAAAGTCCGTGCTGTCTTTAAAGACGTAGAGAGCGCCCATGGAAATAAAGCCAAACAGGAACAGCACCAAAAGAGTGCTGGTAACCCGCTGTCTCGATTGACGCTTCATCTTCCCTCCCTTTTCGTCATAGTCATAACGCTTCTTGGGCGCTGCTCCAGTACCAGGAGCGCCCTTTCGCAACATGGTCGTCGCCTTTGCTTCACAACCTCCCCTCTTCAAAGGTCGTTGTTGTGTGTTTGTGTCCCTCGACAATGGAAACGGAAGAAAAGATCCAAAAGAGTTCTGCGAGAGCGACGTCATCTTTTTCCTGACTAGCTAGTCAAAAACACCTCGTAATTTTATTAATTAAGCTTATTGCTTCATTTTTCATTATTTTTGCCGCAAACCAACGACGCAATCGTCACGGCGTCACAATGGGAAACATCCATCATGATACGGCGATGTTCAGCTTCGTGTTGGCTGTGGAGCCTCTGTTTCCTGTCATGGATTCATCTATCTCTTGCCTGGGTTCCTCAGTATGCCAGACCTGTGACGAAGCCAATGATTGGAAAGGCACACCCATCCACTGCAAATGATGCATCTGGGACATTGCTGGGCAAACCTCAACGATCACTGCTGGACAAATCATCTGGAGTCATGTACAAGAAATCAGTGTTCTCTCGAGATGAATTATCGATCGTTCGAGCTGAAATCCTCGCGCTGAACCAACTACAGGACGAGTGCTCCTCTTCCATTGCTCAGAAACGTCGTGGCACCATGGTTAGCACAAGCAGTTCAATCTTTCCAGTCCTCCAATCTGGAAGCCTTCATCGGCTTGTGGAGGCATCTGTCGGTGCTCCTGTGGAACTTTCCTTGCACGTTCCAGTTGAAATACGAGTCTATGAACAACAGGGTGCAGGCATGTCGTGGCATGTGGACGATGTAATCTATGATCCACCTCAGATTGAAGTGGTCTGGACCCTGGAAAACAATTCGGATTGTCAAACGTTGTGGAAAGACCAACATGACACTGTCAAGAGTGTTGAAACGGAGCCCAACTCAGCCATTTTGATAGCGGCAGGCAAGGCACCACATTGTGTTACATCTCTCAAGTATGGGAAGCGGATTATCCTCAAGTTAGTGTACATTCAAAAAGGAGCACAGTATCGAGTTGACCGCCACAAGAACCAGTTTGAAAATAGCAAAAGCGCCAAGAATAAGAGAAAGCATCGAATCAAGTCCAAGAAGAGATGAGACGGTTGTTAGCTCCTTCTGAAGTGAAGAAGCATTTCTCTGCTGGTCCCCCAGAACGAAATTGAAACTCAACAACCAGCCAGCCAGAAATATCTGCAACTTCCTGCCATCTGCCATGACAATGGGCTTCTCTGATTGAGTGACAGTCTGCCCGAGGCAGTTTGTTCTGAACTTAGCAAAGTTTGATTTGAATGGGGGTAATCAACCCAGTCATCCATCGTGCTTGGTCATGAACGTTTCTAGTACGCTTCCAAACGAATACCCATCTTCCAAATGCGGATAATGAGCACACTTTTCCAGGTGCACTGTCTCCAGTTCGACATTGGTTATTCCTTGCAGAACACTATTCCAACCTTGCGAGGACTCTACTGCAAAGTCTCGAGCGCAAGTAACCACCAATGTACTTGGAAACAAAGCCTTGCCATCAACCATTGGAGGTGGCGACGCTACATAGTCCAAAACAACATCCATGCCTGCCCAGACAGATCCGGAATTTTGCATTGCATTGTCCAGAGATGGACTTTCGACGGAGCACACACGTTCCTTCCAGAAGCCCACTGGGTTTCGCGCTGCTAGTCGGTCGTACGAGTCTCCCGCTTGTTTCATGTTGGCAGGAGTGTTACTCAATAGCAATGATTGTACTAGTTGAGGTCGTGCCTTGGCAAATTCAAAGGCGAGATTGCCACCGTAAGAATGCCCGAATAGGTGGACTCTGGAATCTTTGCTGAACCCAAGAGTTGTCAGCACAGTGTCAAGATCAGCCACGGAATGTGCTATGGAGTAGCTGTGGAAAAAGTTGGCACATGTTGGTCGGGTTGGTCAGGAACACCAAGCAAACTCAAATACAACTGCTTTGTAACGTACAATTGTGGTTCCTTCGGTTCGTCGCTCTTGCCGCATCCTAGCTGGTCGTAGAAGATGATGGGTCTGTCCAGACTCAGGTGTGACACCAAAGGATACAGATATTGTGATGGCAGAGACCTGGAAGACAAAAACAGCGTGTGGGATGTGAAAACCTAGGCAAGGAGGTACAGGAACAGGCCCAGTTATCTGCCTCGAAGCCATGCAACTCACGGTCCTCCGTGCAATACCACCAAAGGTAGCTTCGATGTCGTCTTTGGGATACTGCAATCCTTCACCCTGGTGCTGTTGTACATTCTGTAGTAGAGTGAGAAGAAGGCTTGGCTTCCATCCCCATCTTTCCCTATTCTGTCTCGAGATATCCCCACATCTCCTTCTTCAAAAGGACCGTAGGTGCTGTCGTCGTAGGCTTTTTTGGCTTGCACTACAAGGGAACTCTTCTGCGATCTCTTACTTCCAACGAAGGGAAATGGCATCAAACATGTGGCTTGATGCAGATCATTGATGCCTCCACTTTGAAGATCCCTTTGCAGGAATGCAGTGGCTACCGGTACACCCAGGGCTCGAAGAATGATCAGAACGGTAACTACCCTTCCTGGACACATACTCGTGTTACGCTGAGAGAGAGTACTAGCTAGTATACCACCGAGAAAACCTGTGAGGTCGGTTGCTTCGTTTTGTGAGGACTTGTTATCCGAGAGTAACTCGTGACCAGTGATTAATTCTTTATTTTAATTGAGAACTCTATGGTCCCAATTCCTCTAACGCTTTCATCGTCTGGGGTCATTTTTGTATCCAAACGAAAGATCCCCGGTGGCGCAAACCGTAGGTCACTGTGCTTTTTGTGCCTCTGGCTGGACTGTGGTCTCTGGATCCGTCACCCTTTGAGAGCTCCTTGCAAGGTTGCTTGGTGGTTGCGTGGTTGCTCGAAACTCACTTCTTTATTGAGTTTGCTCTACATACAGCAGATTGAAGCATTTGTTGCAGTCTTGCGGAAGGTCAAAGGCTAGCTAGCACTTGTTGGTGATTCCTTTTAGGCGCACAAAAGATAGGATTAGGAAACAGGTCTGATCTGTTGAGCCAAGAAGCATACTTTTGGATTCCTTCGTCTGCTACGAGAATTTTGTGTCACCATGGCCGAGGAACTAGTAGCTGGAGGTTACTGTGCCTCAAACCCCGCAACATTCCCATGTAACCTGACTGCCTTTAATGCAGCCTTTATCGGCGCTATCGCCTCTTTGGCGGGGGGTATCATGGTGGTCTGTCTGAACATGAGGGTATGTGTGTGACCATTGTGGCTCTTTGGACATGGCATTTTCAGCGGGAATCGAATCGAATATCTCAATAGGGTATCGTCTCCTGATGGCATCTCACTTTTGCCACCATGCATCAATCGTCCTTTCCTTGTCCCACAGATCAAAAAGTCACCGCGTGGAAATGACTTGATGAACAAAATCTCGGACCAAATTAGTGTCGGTGCCAAGGCTTTCCTGACGACCGAATACAAGTACCTGACTGTCTATATGCTTATAGTAGCCACCATCCTCTTCCTCCTCTATTTCCTCGATCCTCCGTCGGGACATTGGGCCGATGGTCTTCGGTATTCCCTCTGCTTTTTGGCGGGAGGCTTTCTCTCGGCATCGGCCGGGTGGAGAGGAATGGCAACAGCCACGGTAGGTGTTTCTTTGTTTGTGTTTTGTCACGGCATGGATATTTCTTTTACAGCATCATCATATGTGAAGACTGATGTGCCATTGGCATTCTTATCATGCTTTTTCATTTCTTTTAGGACGCCAATGTTCGGACCACAGAAGCCGCTGATAAGCAAGGTCTTGCCATGGCGCTCTTTGTAGCTGTCACGGGAGGATCCGTCATGGGCTTCACTGTGGTCGTTTTTGGTTTGCTGGGAATCTCCCTCTCTTATTACCTATCTTCATTGGGGTATGATGACGCTACCGTTTCAGAGATTGATAAACTCATCTACGCCGCCGATGCCGTCGCTGCTTTTGGGTTTGGAGCTTCCAGCATTGCCCTTTTTGCCCGCGTCGCGGGGGGAATCTACACAAAAGCTGCAGATATTGGAGCTGATTTGGTTGGAAAAGTGGAGATGGATATCCCCGAGGATGATCCCAGAAATCCTGCTGTGATTGCAGATAATGTTGGAGACAATGTGTAAGTTGTTTTGTGGCTGGTACACATACATGATGCTTCGATTTCATGGTGAAGCTAATGTTGCATCTTTTGCTACATCGGGACCCATTGAATGATTGATTAGTGGAGACGTTGCTGGAATGGGAGCGGATCTCTTTGAATCTTACGTTGGCGGAATAATTGCGGCCGTCACACTTGCAAACGGAGACATTGCCCTGATCATGCTCCCCTTTTATGTCGCTGGAGCCGGCATCATCTCGGCTGTAGTTGGATACTTCGCAATGGGAGTCAATGATGATGCCAATCAAAAAGACCTTCTTTGGGCTCTCACGAAGGGAAATCTTGTTTCAAGTGTTCTGGTGATTGGTATTACAGCAGCCGTTGTAGCACAACTGTTTGAAGGAAGAGAAGAAGATGGATGGAAGATCCTTGGGTGCATCATCTTGGGTTTAGTTTCTGGTGCTTCCATTGGAAAGGTCACCGAGTACTTTACTTCGTATGAGTACGCCCCTACGCAGTCTATCACCAACGCGGCTGCTACTGGCCCAGCAAGTGTCATTATTCAGGGTCTTGGTATCGGAATGATTTCATGTGTCTTCCCTGTGCTTATCCTCGTCACGACCACCTTGATCTGTAATGCTCTTTCTGGCGGGTATGGTGTTGCCATCTCCGGGGTTGGAATGCTTTCAACGTTGGGAGTTACTCTTGCAGCCGATGCCTTCGGACCGATTGCCGATAATGCAGGTATGTTGTGCATGCTGGTCGACTGAAGTTCCTAGCTAGCGGCAATTCTCATCTTTGTCCTTTTTACCAGGTGGAATTGCCGAAATGGCTGGAATGGAGGAAAGGGTCCGTGCCACCACCGATGCAATTGATGCACTTGGAAACACAACTGCGGCTACCGGAAAGGGATTTGCAATCGGTTCGGCTGTCTTGACGGCTCTGTCACTTTTGACAGCGTTTACCACAAAGGCTGACATCGGAGATGTTCACATCGGAGAGCCAGTTGTTCTTAGTGGTGTTATTATTGGGGCTATGCTTCCTTTCCTCTTTGCAGCTCTGACGATGCTCTCGGTGCAAAAGGTCAGTTTCTCGTCGTGAGATGTATGAGGCTTTCGTTTCTCGTGCGTAGAAGCCTCACTGTCTTGTTCCGATTTAGGCTGCCGCTGCCATCATCATTGAAGTGCGTCGGCAATTCAAGGAAATTCCTGGTCTTCGGGAAGGCACTGCTGAAGCCGACTTCCAAAAGGTTATCGAAATCTCAACAAAGAGCTCCGTTGAAGAGATGTTTCTTCCTGGCGTTTACGCGATATTCTCTCCGCTGACCATTGGTTTCCTCATTGGACCGAGATGTCTGACAGGCCTTTTGGGTGGATCGATTGCTACGGGTTGTATGATGGCCTTGATGATGGCCAACGCTGGTGGTGCTTGGGACAACGCAAAGAAATATATTGAGATCGAAGGGGCTCACGGCGGCAAAGGCACAGAGATTCACCGTGCAACTGTGGTGGGAGATACCGTTGGTGATCCGTTCAAGGATACAAGCGGCCCATCGCTGAACATTTTGATCAAACTGATGAGTATCATCTCTCTGACAATGGCCCCAATGGTGAAGGGCCAGGAGGATTGGCATGAGTGGTGGTGGGGCATGATTCCTTTGTCGATCATGCTTCTTTCGACGGCAGTGGCCTATCACTTCTTGTGGAAGAAGGCACCCAGCTATGCCAATGATCTGGAGCTCACCACAGAGAAGCTCGACGAGGCGGATGCAGCTATCGCATAGAATGTTGTTCAGGCCATTTTCTCAAATTGTGGAGACAGTGAGAATGCCTTCGTTTAGCAACAAAAGACATCGTAGTTCAGGTACCGGTTACATAACACACCTTTTCATAATACTTTGTGTAAAGCAATTGTTACCAAGGGCTTCTTTAAAGCCTGCGTCCAATGGTGACGACTTTGAAGAACAGCCTGTGCGTTGGTCATTTTGATTGATTTACACACTAGCACCCTCCCAACACAGAATCACTTTGCAAAATAATGTAGTTTTGATTATGACAGTACATGTATTTAACTACCAGCTAGCCAGCTCCCTCATTGGTCTCGCTTCTTATCCCGCTTTGGGCGACGACCGTTTCAGCTCGTGCGCGGCTCGGACGGCCGGGTCAGTCGCAGCAAGGATGAGAGCTTCCATGCCTTCTGGAACTACCGATACCTCTTCGCCCTTCTTGGAAACATGTTTGCCTAGCTGCGGCTGGCGAAAGCGGATCCCTTCGGAGGTGTCACAAAGTCCCATTCGAAGTGCAGAATCATGGTAGTATTGCGCAGTCGAATTGGAGACACGGGGACGGGGAGCCGAGTCGACGCGAGATCGTTTCCCTTCAGAACTATTCGGAGATGAAACTAATTGTTGAAATTCTTCTCGTGCCTCCTTGGGCATGCCCTTGCATTGCTTGAAGTGATCAAACTTCATGTTCGACACGGCATGGTAGACACCGCCGACTGAAGGCGGGAAGCAAATGGCGCGCTTCACTCGATCCTTGATAGGGAGTCTTGCACAGTACATGCATCGGAGCCCAACTTGACCAAGGACAATGGGCTTCTTTCTTCCAGGCGCCGGCGCCGCAAGGTCTTGTTCATTAGCAGCAAACACCTCAACATGACGCCGAACAAAGCAATGGATAGGAGCCAAGTAGTGTTTGTCCATCTCTGAAGCAAGATGGGCTTTACCACTCTTGGACTGCTCTTGCGGGCCAGCTTGTTCCTTAACGATGTCTTGGGGGGAGGTGACGACAGCCAACGGCAGTCTGGTCTCCTTGCACAGGACAGAACTTGCAACCTGATGGGAAATACTTGCAGAAGCCTTGGGTGCCATGGTTTGGACCTTGAAGTTGGCAGCGGCCGGTACAGCGTTCGCGTGAGCATATGCAGGTACCAGGTTGCCCATCAGCATGCTCTGGAGAGCATTGTGTTGAGACATTGTCGCGAACGTCAGGGACGGATGTTGTCTGCCATCATCAGGAACGACAACCCGCGACTGACTCGAGACATAGATACCACCTTTTCCATCTTCCAATCCAAGTTCACGAGCACTATCATGATAGTATTGGGCTGTGGAAGCGCTAGCACTTCCAATCCTCTTGGATTCCTTGTTGGACTTATTTTGTAGCACACTCTCATCCTTGAGTTCATTGAACTTCTGATGAAGTCCCTGGGGCATTTGGGAACAGGGGAAGTGGGCGAACTTCATGTCTGAGACAGAATGATATACCCTGCCAACCGAGGAAGGATAACACACGGCTCTCTTCTTGCGTTCTCTGGGCTTTTGATGCTTGCAGTGGATGCAGCGAAGGCCAACTTGCCTGAGCTGGATGGGGATGCGCCGACCAGGGGCAGGCTGCTTGAGGTCTTCTTCAGAGGCTTCAAATACTTCAATCTGCTGCCTGACAAAAATATGGAGAGGACTTAGCACAGGACTATCTTTCGATGTTGCCAAGAGCAGCACCTGTTGGGGCTTTGGCTGAGCCTGGGACCCCCCTGAGGGAGGGATGGGCGACGGAGGCTTGTCCAAGCATGTTCGCTTGTTCTGTGGGAAGGCAGAGGTTTTAGTATCCACAGAGACAAACGAGATGGTGCGCTTGAAGCCACTTAGCTTCCCATTTGTGGGAGGCAAAAAAGTTTCGGGAGAGGGCTGGAGGACAAACTGCGAAACAGAAGCAGAAGATTCATGGCCGTGAACCTCGTCAACTCTTGCAGAGACCTTTTTAGCAACAACCACAGTTGGCTTTGATTGAGGAGGCTCGCCGTCGTGTGTCTCATCATCCCCTTTTCGAGAAAGAGATTGAAAAGGATGAAATTGAGCCGATGAGATGGAACTAGTGGTGCTACCGGTACCCAGGGATGACACAGACACTGATACCGGCGGGGGTATGTGACTGACTAATCGCGAAGGCTCTCGCGAAGGCTCTTTTGGAGGGGAAACAACAGCGCCATTGCCATCTTTGCTGCCCTGAGAAGCCCACGTTAACCCCACCACCTCGGTCTCCGCCTTCTGAAGGTTTCGTCGCTTGATTATACTCAGCATTCTTAGCTTGAGAATAGGTTTTGTGATGGGAGTAGCAGCAGCAGTTGTTGTGTTACAACGATTCATGTAGGACAGCAGAGGAAGCTTCATCAGCTGGGAGCGAGATTCGTTCTAGATTCATTGGTCAAAGCAGAACTTCTATCGCACTTTAGTGTTTTGTTGTCACTGATACTACCGATGCTTTGGTAATTCCGGTGAGACTTCTATGATAGAGAGCGGGCAAGATTTGATACCATGGTACCGTACCATGCAATTTTGAATGTATTACATGTATCGATTGAATTGACATTCATTTCCAAGTTGACGGTAATGAAATATCGACTTCGGCACGCTAAAGATTTTGAGCTGCGTTGCAGTCTCGCTCAGCTGAACGCCCAGAACTCCACTGAACGTCTCCAAGAAATCGAATCGAATCTACTGTAGCTAGCTACCAGAACTACTACTAGCTAGTACTACTAGCTAGCTAGCTAGCTAGCGAGCTTTCAGGTCGAATCGAATCTCCCGCTAGGTCCGTTTTTTCATTATTGCTTCTCCAAGATTTGGGCCCTTTCATGCGTCCAGATTCGCTTCAGCAGTTTCCTCGCTGCCTGGTTGCAATTGGAGTTGCGATTGGAGTTGTCTAAAAGTAGGAACCTCTCAAGCCTTTCGTAACCACGAATCTCCCGCTGGGTCCATTGCTGCTACACGATTTGGGTGCTTTCACCGGTTGCTTCAGGTTCGCTTTACTAGCAGTGTCCCCGCTGCCAAGGCGGCCTGGTTGCAATGTGAGTTGCAATTGGAGTTGTCTAGCTATAGTCTTTTTTGGAGTATACCAGTGCGCAATGGCTCAGTTTTGCCCCGAAGATTCGTTGGCAGCCATGTAAGTGCAGTCAGACTCTCTATTGGCGCAACCAAAAACTTTGAGACCTTACAGTATGGGTGACGCTGCTGGATAGCAATTGGGGTACATTAGAGAATTGGCTGTACGGTGCGAGTACATGTAGTAGGATCTTCACAACGCAACAATACCAAAACTAACTGCAAACAGAAGTTTGAAGACTTGTTTCTTTACAAAGTTTTTTAAAACGGATATATTATATATTAATTATGATCCTTTGCTTTGCTTGTTATCAGGACCTTTGGTGTCATCCTCTTCCCACTTCAAGCATAACATTCAAAGATCCACTCTACCGGTACTGGCCACAATTCGTTTAACTGTCTAGCTAAGCTACTCAAGTAGTAGTCCTTTTGATCAACCGCAGTCTCCCAACCTTTTAGCTTTCATGACCCTTTCCCCCCTCCCAACTCTCCCAACTCTCCCAATTCAAACATTTTGTAATTTCCGCATTTCAACGAAACTAGCTAGCAAAAGCGCGACTGAATTATGTTAATTTTACTTTTTCAGACACCATTTTGCCCTCTTTTCTGAAATCCAATTTTGACCCTATCCTTCAGAAACGTAATCTCTGCGAAAGAGGTGTTCTTGTGACAGGGTAGTTAGAGTAAATCAATAATAAACGATTCAAGTGACTTGAAAACAAATTTTACCGCAACCACTTCCATCTCAAAGCTGCCGATTTACCTTTTATCTCACCGTAGTCTATTCTACCGGTAGTATTATTGTCATTGCACGAAACAAGCTAAGAAAGCTTTGTTACTACAGTACGGTACATCTCATCAATAGAGGGTAGACTACAGCTGTCTAGTAGAGAGCTAGCTAGAGCAACCTGTTGAGGAAGTATGACAAAGAAAGAAGGACCGAAAACCACTGATAAGAAGTCCTCGAAGAAGCCTGTTCGTCAAGAGGACGACTCTCACTCAGATGATGACGACTATGACGATCCCAATGCGAGCTTGTTGAATCGAAAATCAATGCGGCGGTCCGGCAAGAATACTGAATTCGATCCTCTCTCTTCCAGTTGGGGTGGCCAGAATCCAAGAGAATGGCAGAGACCGTATTGGCTTGGTGGGAGTCTCTGTCTTATTTTGTTTGCCTTTTGGATGTTGGATTCATTAAAAGATCCAATATTTGGTGATTTGGTGAATGGAAATCTTCAAAGACATCAACCCATTGCCAAATTGGTCAGTGTGGCGACCACATTGGCGTTAGTGGTTTTTCTGGAGTATTTATCCCATGCCAAAAAAGAAAGGCAACGACGGCTGGAAGCTCTGCGACAACGGAGCAATGAAAGTGTACTTGAGGGTGGAGGCACTTGGACGCGAATGGGGTTTCAAGATGATGAAGAACCCCCCGAAGTGCAAAATGGAAATGCAGAAAGTACGACATTGATATACATTCTGGTAGCATATTCCGCTGTATTTGCTTTGATTGCAAGGGTTCTTCAGTATCGAACCAGCAGAAATGGCAGTGCCCCTGACACGGACTTTGCTGAGGACGTATTGACATCTTGGCACTTTGTGGGTTACTTCCTTTATGCGACAATCGAATCCTTCGGTTCTTTAGCTGTGGCTTCATTTTGGAGCTTTACAAACACTACTTTGTCATTGGAAGACGCCCAAAGGTACTACGGGATCATTATTGCATTGGCCCAGCTGGGGGCTGTGGGAGGTTCCACAATGGTGACAACAGACTACCCCGATACTTCGCTGCTTGTCTTGGCGAGCCTGGCTATAATCTTGCATCTCGTTGTCATGGCAATGTACCAACACCGTTTTCGACCAACAAACATCCAAGCCATTGTGGCAAGCAATACCGGAGACCTCTCAGAAGTGGTAGAACCGTTTGCCAACAGCAATCGCCGACAAAGTCTCCAATCGTTGATCTCTGCTGCATCATCTGCAAACGAAGAATCCGCGCTTTGGTCCGGTATTCATCTCATTTTGCGGCACAACTATGTACTTTTACTCCTGGGCGTATCGTGCCTATATGAAGTGTCACTCACTTGCCTGGACTATCAGATGAAGATGATTGGTTTTGAGCGCTTTCAAAACTCAGATCACGACGGCGGCTTAAGCTTTGAAGATTTTATGGGACACTTTGGGCAGATTGTAAATGCGACAAGCTTGTGCCTCTCGCTTTTTGGGTTTAACTTCCTCATCCGACGGCTGGGGTTGCGGTACACTCTCCGTTTGTTTCCCACGCTCTTGGTCATTGCTACGGTTGTGGCATTCGTTGCATTCCCCGGAAATCTCTACGTCTTGTTTACGTCCATGTCGCTCCTGAAGGCAATGACCTATTCAATTCACGATCCTTCGACAGAATTGCTTTATCTGCCAACATCCAACACAATAAAGTTCAAGGCCAAATTTTGGATTGATATCGTTGGAGCCAGAGTTGCAAAAGCCATCGGAAGCACAATCAACACATATGCCGGTAGCGTGGATCGGAGCGTCAGTGTAGGCAGCGTTCCAAGCTTTTTGACGGCAGTTCTGCTTTGGGCGGCTTGTTACTATATTGGGAACGACTTTGATCATCTCATTGAGACCGGGACCATTGTGGGTGTTGGGAATGGAGATGTTCCACCTAGACGCTTTACAACGACACCAAACGATGACATTCACAGTGGTATTTACTTGCATGACGGTGACGAAAAAGGTGATCTTGATGGTGTCGCAACTGCGGAAGACGAAGCAGACTTTGTGGCTCAGAGCGGCACTGACCTACTACAAGATTCCTCCATAGAACTGAATGAGCTGAACTCAGCTATGTCATTCCAGGATCCCGGAACAAGGCGGGTGTCCGTGTAAAGCATCTACAAGGCTTATTTTGATGAGACATGTAACTAATGTAGGCCGTACGGTATTTCGGGACTCAGGGTGTCCTGCCGTTGTGGGTTCACTTGGCAATCTAAGGTTTCTTCTCTAAAGCCGCATGGCTCTTGCTTGGCCCTGACTCCTACGAAAACGAACCGCAGACAGCGCCAAGGTCCTGCACCTATTCTATCTAGGAGTAGAAACAGTTCTTGGGCTGGCAGCATGTCGCGGGACATTCATTTTTGTCGCAATCTAGACTGAACTCTGAAAAGGCAGCCTCACTTCGACGGGGACCAGCCGAGCAGTATACTTCTGGATAAGGTCCCTCGAAATCGTTGTATTGTATGAACAGAAGGGCTGTTGTGTGGTCGAGTACCAGTATGGGAAGCGGCAAAGGAAGAAGGGAATAGATTAGAAAAATACAGAGAAAATATTATAGAGTGCGCAGCAGAATCAACCACCAAACCTTACCAAGGGCTCCATTGTCTTGAAGATTGTCAGGGATGGGACCTGTAAACCTGTTGCCTTGCAAATACAAGACAAAGAGATTGGGCATGCCAGCAAAGATATCTGCCGGCAAGAGTCCACCAATGGCATTGTTTTTGAGTGATATCACTGATATTGGACTGACAAGAGCTAACGCAACGGGCAGTTCTCCCGTGAGGTTGTTTCCATCAAAATTCAGCTCTTCCACTTCAGTCTGTAAACGATTGCAGTTGACACCATACCAGTCACAATAGCTCGAGCTGGTTAACCAATTTGTATTCTTGATCCAGTCATCTCCCCCCAGTGAATAGTACAAGTTTGCCATTGCGAATCGAGTGGCAATATCATCGGTTGGAGGTGGAAAAGCATCTTCAAACAAGGCCCAGGACATGGCACAGTCCAGAGGCGTCTCTGTACAATTTCCGTTTTCGAGTGTATCGGCATAGTATGAAGGATCGTTGACCAATGGAACTTGAGAAGTGACTGGGTTGCTTTGCCATTCATTCCTCAGAAGGGAAAGTAGTTCTTCCGGAGGTAGCGAAGTGGCCTTGGCTGTTGGTGCCATTGTGGCGGGTGGCACACTTTCTTCTGTGCTTTCACCGCCTGACGCCACGACAGCAATCACGATTATGACAACAACAACAATGACAACAACGACGGCTGCCACCACATAGACTTCTGTCTGGCTAATATCTCCCCATCTGCCAGTTGTTTGCACATCTCTGAAATCCTTGTTGATTTCTCGCTTCTTTTGTGGTTGTTGGTCTTTTCCTTCTTCTGGTGGCTGCTTGAGCGGATCACCCCCTTCCTTTTGTTTAGTACCAAGAGGACCTTCCGTTTGCTCCGCAGGAACTCCCGCACCCATTTCTTTGGCTTTGCCTACGTCTGGTTCTTGGCTAGGCACTGCCCCTGGCTGAGAAGCCACGGCTCCAGGCATGGTTGCTGGCTGGTTTGAAGAAGCTGCAGCAGCCGTTTTTTCAGCTGCATCGGGATATATTGTACCAGATGGTGGAGCAACAGGAGGAGGCGGCGAAGGGGCAGCATCAAATATTTTTGTTGAGGGTGCCTGAGGGGGTGGCTTCAAATGACTCTGTTCTGTCATCAAAGGAGCTACCACATCAGGTGCGACAGGTGTAGTGGAATCGGGTGGGGGAGGCTTCAGTAAGCTTGGATCTGCCACCAATGGAGCAGGAGGCTCCTCACGCATGGGTTCTGCAGCTGGGACTTTTTGTGCTTCGTTAGATTGCATAGTGACCGGTTGTTTCATGTCCGTGGTATTCATAGCGCCTTCAGCTCCCTCCACGGCCTGCTGTTCTTCCACAAATTCCTCCTCTACGTTGGGCGGCCTCTCGATATCAGGAGCAGCAGCATCGTTGGGAGTTCCCATTCCAGGTTCCTCTTCTTCTGATGGCGCTGGTTGTTGGGAGTCATCTCCGATTTCGTCCTTAAAGACCTCAGGTGTGGACGATCCGAGGTCTGACTCGATCGCGGAAGGCACAACAGCCGCAGGCTTGGAATCCATCATGTCCTTATCCTCGTCCGCCATCGTCGCAGCAACAGCTACTAGATAATCAATTCAATCCTGAGCAAATAGGTTTTCTACAAGTGAGTAGTTGCCAAGAATCCTTTGATTCTAAAGGACAGTACATGTATTACAGAGGTCCCAGAGTCTGATGTTCTTTGCCTGACTCTTGCTGCAGCTGCAATGTCATCAGTTTCGAGGAGCTTCGTTGAGTTGGTTGCTTCGGTTATGGACTATATCCCTCGTAATTTTTGGAGGCAGTCTTGCTGAAGCTGTAAGCCGTGACCCATGACTGTTGCAGTGACCCCCCCCACATCTCACCGCACATGTACAACAAAGTTGAAGAGACGACTCGACTCTTCTCCGACCCACACCTTCGACTAGAAGCCAAAAAGCAACCCACCACAGCTCCCACCACCCACCATAGATGCAACGGAGCGTACAACGCTATCTCAGATACTTAGACTAGGTGCTATAGCTAGCTAGTAGAAGAGCTGTCCAGAGTATCCTCTTCCAACTTCCAAATCTCTGGCCCAGGGATGGCACCAATTGTATGTAGTCATGTTGTAATAGCTACAAAGCTATACCGGTACCAATTGGCCCCGTAGTAGACTTTGCTTTTCTCTTGCAACGAACTATTCCCTTCTAATTACTACTACGATGCACTGTCTTGACTAGATCTTCATCAGGCAGCCCCTGGCTAGGAGGCCAGCTAGCTAGAGTGCCGCAATCTACCTTTGTCTATATTGAGAGGACACGTCTTTGCATGGTGACACTTGCTTGTTGTCAAGGCCCATGGGGCCCAACATGACCGTTGTTTACTCCTCCAGCACAAGATCCGGTGAGTCTTCCTTGAGTCTCTTTTGTATAGTTTTTTTTTGCTTGGTGCTGATGCTCTTGCTGGCCATGAACCTGTTGAGAGTGGACATCCGATGCATCCCATTCTTGCCATCGCGGTATCGGTATGTGGCCTCGTAAACATTGTTTCCATCTGTGTAGAGTCCTGGTCGGACTCTTCTTTCTCTCCAATACATTCCTGAGGAGTCAGAAAAGAAGTGTTTGGGAGAAAAGTTCCACAAGTTTCTGATGACAGGCAAACATAACACACAAAACAAACATGAAGTTAGCAAACAGGTAGACACTGCAGCGATGTCGAGCTGCTCAATTAAAGAGTTCCTACGTGATAGACAAGGGCACATACCGAACGGAACGCTCTCGGACAGTGTATTCGCTATCAATCACTGGCAAATTTGTCTCTGGATTGACCTTTCCGGTATTCTTGTATTTTGCAAAGATGTCAACTTCTCCCTTTCGAAACAAGTCAGTGATAATGGCTGCTTGATCCACATGCACTAACCTTACGGACCATTTCGATCCAGAAGGTTTTGGACGCGCGTACCATTTGATTGGTTTTCCTGAAGTTTTGGGGTTGACAACACCCACAAACTGATAATTGTTCGAGTTTTTCGCGGCCTTTTTCTTGACACTGACCAAGGAAGCTGCGGCTTTGGCAGCAGCTCGATCGGATGCTTCTTCAACGTATCGCTCTTCAGCTCTTCTGCGACGCCGATCCGACATGGCTGTAGATTGAGCCCAACCAGAGGAGGATGCCGAAGCTTGAAGTTCTTGATCTTTCTTTGCCTTTAGTTCCTTTCGGGCCTCGGATTCTGCCTGCAGACGAGCTCGAAAGACAGGGAGGAACCTGCTCCTTGCTGTGGCTGGCTCATCCTTGACCTCGGGATCCCAAATAGTCAATGCTTTCAATGGTGACAGAACTCTAAGATTCTTGATGGCGCTGGCGGTAGTCATGCACAAGACGCAGGCGAGCAGGATTTCAAGATTTCTGCCTTTCATTTTGAGATCGGCTCAAAGTAAATTGTTGTGATAGTGGCACAGCTACTAGGAGAGATTGCGGTGTGAGTGTGTTAGGTAGAAGCTCCTTGCTTGTTGTGGGCAGCTATGTATCGGTATCCGCCATTTTGTGGCTGATTTGATTTTCTTGATGTTTTTCACTTCCACTTGGAAGTATGTCACTTCGGATGCGCATTTGCCCCGAACCGGTACGGTACAGTAGCTTTGCCCCGCTGGGCATTGGAACGACAGCAGGGATCGTTGCAGTTATTATTGTGTGTCGAACATGGCTACAGGTACCCAACAAAGTTAAGCTATCTCTGGCCGCTACAGGTACCCACAGCTGGATCCCCATTGTATCCCCCATATGACGCTCCTTGTGGTCGGACTACCTGGTACCCGGGAACTGTAACTTGCCAGCCAGCTTCCAACAACAGCCACTACATGTACATGTGCCGTTGTTCCTAGGTAGTTGAAAATGAGCCTAGCTGGACTCGTCACTCGACTCGTCACTCTAGGGAAGCGGCACGGAACCGGTACCTCCAATTGCAATTATTGTACGTGAATAATATCTTGTTACTAGAGTACTTGCCGCAAATATACCGTTGATGTGGCTCAAGTTGATTTCTTTGGAGGGTGCCTTTGCAGTATGAGGCTTTTCAAGGCCCTCTGAAGCCAGTGCTCCCTTGAATGATAGTACTAGCCATATCAGATTTGCTCACTACCCGTCAATTGCTAGAAAATCTCTTTCTTAGTACTTTGCCAAGACATCTGCCATTCGAACAACGGAGTATTCCTTTTCTTCAATGATGACTTCGTTGCCCGCAAAGTCACGGAATTTTACCATGTCACCAACCTCGACCTCCATCGCCATCACGGTTCCATCCGCAGCCATTCGACCAGGTCCTACCTTGACAACTTCTCCAGTAGACGGTCGATTATCGGTCTTGGAAGACGATGCTATAAGAATACCACCTTCAGTGGACTGTTCTTGTCTTTCCACGTAGACCAGAACACTGTCGCGAGTGACATCGGCACTTTCCAGAGTTAACTCGTCGCCTGTGAACTTGACCAACACGTCATCATCTCTGATCAAAATGTGCCTTGCGCCGTCCAAGTCAATCTCGGTTCCATCGTATTTCCCATACACCACACCTTCTCCTACCGACACTGGCATATCAAAGACAATTCCGGAATCCTGATGCGTCTTGCCAGGGCCAACAGAAACTACCTTCCCTTCTGTTTTTTTCACTTTGGCTTTTCCTGTCAATAAGATTCCACCATCTGTCTGCTCCTTCAAGTCGGCAATCTTGACCAGCATAAAATTGTTCAAAGGGGTCACATCACCCGCAATCTTTCGACCATCCAGTGTGGCGGCATAAAGGTGAGTTGAAGAATCCCTTCCAACAGCCGGGGGTGCGAAGGATTGGATACCCTTCAGTAAAAGGAAAAAGCCAATTACAGAGACAACCTTCATGGTTCAGTTTCGTTCTTCTTGTTATACAACAAGGCAGATAGAATGTGGTTCTTGCTATTGGCAGCTAGTAGCTAGTAGTGGCACGGATGGAACTCTTTCAGTTTCTTCTCCAAGCCCAGAAGTGCGCAACACCAGTGCTTCCTTTGATGCCATGGCTTCACACTTCAGATCCAATAACGTCATCTTTCTCTCGTACGGTAGGAGGACAGACGCTTAATGCCAGCAAAGCTGCTGTACACATCAACCCAAAATAGCAGCTAGGTACCGGTATATTACGTACGGTACTAGTAGCGCTACCATCCTGAAGTGCGATGTAGCAAACCCCATCACTGTTAACTTTAAAAAAAAAAGAATTACGCTTTCCCCGGAGGGATTATGTTCTATGTTTACATTTTGAAACGGTCTGTGAGAGCCTCGCACTAGGGCCAGCCTTTAACCGTTTGTGGGTATAGAGGAATGTCGGGAATGCATCTTGACATGGATTTGTTTGTGGTGTTTTCGTGGGAGCGATATGGCTCCCTTTTTTATTGTTTGTGGTGTGTTTGGTTTAGTTAGCAGGTGGGCCCAGAATGATCCAGTTTTCCATCAGATTGTGTTCATAAGTCTGGTCATTTCGAGGTTGAACTTGGTCTGCCGCCGCTGCAGTTCGAGCGTTCTCCACACTGGCTATCCAATGTTGTTTGTCTGTGTTTGTTTGCTCCAAGATGGAGTGGATGCCATGTGCAAATAAGGGTCTGTCTTCTGGACGAAGGCTGGTGGAGCCCAGGGACCATTGGACCATTGGTACTGTATTTCTTTGTTGAGGGTAGTTCAGAGGTGGGGATCAAAGGTGGGGTGGGGGTCGTTGTGTTTTATGTGGTTTCTATGGTCCCACATGTCTCAGGAGGTGTCCAGCAGCTTCCTGACTACGGCAGTGGTCCACCTGAGGCCATGGCGGCGATTGCCCATGGATTTGTAGTGGGCGTGTTGCAGTTGAGTGAACCGATGGCTGATGCGTCCCAACATGAGATTGTACCAGCCTATCTCGGTCTGTTCTGCCAAGGTGGCTCTAACTTCAGCCCGGAGGGGCCCAAAGTGACGAGGGCTTTGTTTGCCCCAGGCCCAGAGGTGCTCGATGATGCTGTACCACAGGGCTTGGTTGGTACCAAGTTTCTGAAGGTGGTTGTCGAGGGAGACCAGTGTTTCTGCCCAGGTGAGTCTCGCGCCTTTGCTTCAGCACTGAAGCAGGTGTTCAGGGTTTTCATTTGGATCAGCACAACGGGGGCAGCAGGAGTGATCCCAGATCTTCCGGATAGGCATAGATCGGCCAACGCCGCAGAATACGGTGGTGTGCTTCGTTGGCCAACGTCTTTTGGCTTTGGGCATGCGCCTGAGGGCCTGATTCAATGCGTTCCAATTGATTTTTCTGAGGGTGTTGTGTGGTAAGCCAAGCTTGCGGGCCATGTAGGGTCTGACTATTGGTGCGTACATACGCTCGTAGAGGTTTGTTTTGTCCAAGTATGACAAGGGTTGGGCTTGCCACGAGAGTTGCCAGCTTTGCCCTCCAACGTGCTGGAGGTTGGGCTCCCGGTCCCAGGTTTCTCTCAGGAAACTCTTGGCCTCCCTGTCCACCAAAATTTTCTGTTGTTCCCACCATGTCAGTTGCTGGGGTTCCTTTTTGTCATCCGCATGTCCAGCAACGTACGGTAGGTCGGAGTGACTTGAATTCCTGCCTCCTTGAGCTGTTGCCTTTGGTGTTGGCAGGAAAGGAGCAGGTCATAGTGTTTGCCACTGGGGCGGAGTGGTTCGTATTCTTCCAATTTGTTAACCAAAGCAGCGGCTACCGGTAGCGCTAGCAAAGCACATCAACACAATGGTACGATGCGGCAGCAAGAGAAAAGGACGGAGAGAAGCCCATTGTCGTCTGTTTATCAAGCTAAATCTAGCTAGTAGTAAGATTTATACTTGTGTATGAATTCTCTCAATAACAACACACGTCCAGCAGATTCTGGCCCACATCGCTTGAAATCATTCGCAAATATGCAATCCCCTCTTTGTTCATCACTGTTTCGCCTCGATCATTTCGTAAGTGACCAATACCAATGCTCTCGTAATTGGCAAGTATGTGATCGACTTCCAATTCGGAAAACCTTGGTACCTCCAATATATGGAGAGCTGCGCCAGCGTGACCAGCAGCGACTGAGCGACTCGCATATGCTGTCAATGCGTCCGTACATTTTCGTGCAATCGCACAAGACTCGGATATTCCAACAATGACACCCCCACGTTTGGGAGCAATCGGTGTTTTCAACGGGATTTCCTCGTCCTCCTCCAACGACAGCGCCATGGCATCAAGAGCAGGTTTGAAGAGGTTGATCTGGTCGTATGGGATGGCAGTCTCAACGCTATCATCGTAGTCCATGTGGAAGTAGTGACCAGGTTCAAAGTAGCAATTGAACTCATCGAGCGCCATCAAGAATGGTTTGTCGGTTTGTTTCGTCAAGACATCCACCGTCACGGTGAAGCACATGGCAGCATGTGCCACGTTTGCTTTGGCGGCTTTCAATAGGTCCACCAAAAGCATGCTACCACTGCCCGAGTAACCTGACAGATCTTCCAATTGCCTCTCGGTAAAGAATTGTTGCATTGTCGCTTCGTCGGCTTCCATTCCCTCCAGGTCGGATTCATGGCGAGTCATCAATTCGTCGCACACTTCCTGTGACAGCACAGGAAGGTCGTATAGTTCCTTGTTTTTGGGATTGGGTTCAATGTAGTATCCAAGTTTGTGAAGGCGGTTTCCATCCGGCATGTAGAGCACTATGTAGCCTGACTTTCTCGCCGCTGCTACCACAGATGCAATCGCTGCGGTCTGACGTTGTGCAAACAAAGGCAGGGATACATCAGTGAGCGCCAGGAAACCCCATGGTTCAGTCAGTTAGCCAATCTATCTACTAGAGGCAAGTAAACCTACCTTTCCCACACCTCTGCGCCCAGTTACCAAGACACGTGCCGATTCCGATTCCTGTAAAGCACGAGCAATGTCCCTTGTTGATTGACGTAACATGATCCTCTTGGACTTGCTGTGGGCTGAAAGCTCCCACTCCTCCACCATTCTACCAGGTCCATCATGTGGATGAGGTTTCAGAGGCATTAGAATACTGGGAACCATTTGGTCCTCTGGGTCCTTTGCACTGTAGCAATCCATAAAGACTGGCACTGCTTTCTCATCTGATGCTTCGTCTTTTTCATCGGCCGACTCGGCTCCATCGGATGATGCCAACTCTGTTGGTGTTTCCTTTTTGAACGTTTTCAAATAGGACTCCAATGCTCGTTCCACCCATCGTCCAAACTGTGGATGTCCCGAGAGTATGGACTCTTTCACGCGTAGTTGGTGTTCCACCGACTCAAACAAGGCATCCACGGCATCTTGTTTTTCTTGCCATGTTGGAAGTGTCAATATGCCTGGAAGTTTAGGTTCAGCAGCCTTGACAACTTCCTTTCGAATCTTTTCGTAAATGGCCTGTCGGCGCAGATTGGCGTATTCTTTGGATTGACCGTGGCCTGGATGGGGAAACGGTGGGGGTGGCAACGGCAGCTGTGCAAGTTCTGATAGAGTGGGTATTCCACCTGAATGAAAGCAACGCAATACAGTAGTAAAAAAAGAGGACAATTGTTTAGCAATGATCCAGTCTGTTCATTACTTGCAACTTGAAAACACAATACGGTAAGACAATGCTTGCTACCCCTTATAGTAGCTTACCTTTGAATATCTCGACTCGTTCCTTACTGATTCTGGAGACAAAATCGGGAGACCAGTCGGGAATGTCATCAAATTCAATTTTAGTTTGCCATCGCTCTTCTGAAATTTCCATGCTGTCCGTCCACAAGGGTATCGGAATGTCGGCAATGTCAATCTTTTGCGACACTTGCTCTTTCTTGTCGGCCGTGGAAGGATCGCCACCAAAGCGGCCAGTAGATCCACCAAGCTGTCTGCTGCTACTCCCCCCTGCGCTATCACTCTCACCAAACAAGTTGGCATAGATTTCCTGGGTTCGCGTATTGTCTTCTTTCTCATCATTGTCGCCGCCATCGGACATCCATCGTATTGTGGGAGCTACGGTTCCAACAATTTTCGTTTCTTGACGGCAACCCGATGTTGCACGCAAGGAGGATCGGGATAATCTGACAAGTCGCCACATGACTAGCGTTGCAGCTTGCTTCTTTGACTGCACTACTCTACTTTGTTAGTTGAAAGATTTTGGTGCCGTCGTTGTGGGTTGTGGGTGTTGTGGAACCATGCGCCATGGCCGCTCATTTTGACAGATCACGAGTAATCCAGTCACTAACTCTGGCCCTACGGTATGCTCCGTGAACAAGCAAGCAAGTTGAAGTTGTTTCCAGCCCCTCATTTTTCTCACTTCACACCCTGCCGCCACAGCGCATCAAACATCAAACCAAACTCCTCAAGCGATCAAACCAAAACCCATCACGGTACCAACCTATCGATTAGCCATCATCATGGAATCGTTGCCATATCCTTCCTTTGTCTCTCAAGTCCCAGTCGATGCCTCTCAAAATCGTGCTGGTCTGACGGCAGTGGGAAGATGCCGAATCAACCCAGAAGTCGCCAGCGACGAGTATCGAGCCATTGTGGCCAAGAACGCGGAACAAGCCAAGGTGGACACCAACAGTGGTGGTGGCGATAAGGACGCCCAGAAAAAGCTCAAGAAAAAGTACATGAAAGAAGGCGTGGCAATGGCCAAGAAATTCTTAAAGGCGACTCTGCAATTGGATGTCAGCGTCGTGGAAGTGGAAATAGTCGTGGCGCCGAAAGATTTGGTGGACACGGATGGTTGCTTGGCAGCCTGCTTGTTGGATGCCGGGTGTCAAACAATTGTCACGGATGGAACCCAGCTGGAAGCTATGGACGCGGCAAAAATCCCACGGGAGCGACTGGCGGCCCATTTTACGGGTGCAGACAACCTATGCCAGAAATTCGAAGCGGCTGCTCCACTGGCCAGTTCTGTCAGTGTGGAATTGGATGCCACCAGCAGTAGTACCTTGGAAACCATTCTATCAGTTTTTGAATCTACAGCCAACGTCGTCAAGGAACATTCATTGGAATGTGTGGTGCAAATTGTACCCTCTCAAGATGAATCACAGCTGGAAAGTTTGATGAGTGAAATTCATGCCAAAGCACCCAAAGGGAAAATCGCCTTGGTTGATCCCACAGCTCGACAACTTGGCTTAAGCTATGCTGCCTACATTCGCACGGATCGAGAGGATAAACTCTACACAACCGTGGTCTGCACTCGCAATGGAGAGGCTCTGGGGTTGGTTTACTCTTCCAAGGTAAGCCTTCTGCGAATAGTACAGTATCATTTCTGGTCTCTTTGAGAAACCCACAAAACCTGACTCAACTCAACTCAACTTCTTCATATTATTCAACAGGAATCTATTGTGGCATCTCTCGAATGCGCTCGTGGCGTGTACTACTCCCGGTCCCGCAATCAACTTTGGCGAAAAGGTGATACATCGGGCCATTATCAAACCCTCCATCGATTGGACATTGATTGCGACGGAGATGCCATCAGGTTTACCGTGACGCAACGAGGCGATGATAAGGCTGCCTTTTGTCATCTCAATACGTTGACATGTTGGGGCAATCCCCGTGGTGTTCTGCATCTGCAGGAAACACTGCAGGATAGATTCAAATCCGCGCCCGAGGGCTCCTACACGAAACGCCTCTTTGATGATCCCAACTTGTTGCGAGAAAAGTTGGTGGAAGAAGCTCAGGAACTTTCGGAAGCTACGGAAAAGGACGATGTTGCCGGGGAATTGGCCGACGTTATGTACTTTGCAATGGTTCGAGCCGTCGCTGCCGGTGTTACCTTTGACGATGCCATTGCTGAACTAGATTCCAGGTCTCGGAAGGTGACGAGGCGACAGGGAGATAGCAAAGCATATCGTACCGAGGTGGCCAACAAGATCTTGGAGGGAAAGTAGGTTTGATTGAAACTGAAACGAGCAAAAAGATCAATCAATCAGCACCATGCCGTAGCAATGTTTCACGATAGTACTCGGCAGCTTTCCTCATTGTATTCATGCACCCTAGCTGTAGTACCAGTACAAGCCTAAACTGTCGTTGCAATGCACAGCCTACCAGTTTCCATGTTTTCCCCGCAAGGAAGTAATCGGACCGTCCCTGGTACCGGTACCGGTACTAGCTAGTACCGGTTAGTGTGACCGTACCGTACCGGTAAAGGAAAGGTGAATTTCAATCACGCCTGCGCAAAACCGCAGTCGACTTGACTCGGCTCGGCTGGAACTCCTGCGGTTCGAGCTGCAGCAGGGTTTGCGCAAGGAAGCTGCTTCTTGCATCAACATGTACCCCCTCCGCACTGTTGGTTGCCACAGCAATCTCCAGTGGCCCCGCTCAGCTCCATCACATTCGTCCCAAAGGTCAGCATCGAGCGATGCGCATCACCAGCTTCCCTGGCTGCCTCCCGGTGGGCACTGTCTACCGGCAAGATCCGTTTCTTTGAAGCTGCACTGTCAACTCAACCAGCAAGAAAGCAAGGACTTCTACTACGGCGCCCTCTTTGTGCATCATGCGTCCCATATCACGTCATTTCGCTTGGCATCGAGCGTACTGCAGCACATGCCCTTCAATAGGGTTGTGGCTCTAGCTATCTAGCTGGTAGATTTCGGTTGCTACGGTTAGTTTTAAGGGTCATTGGCTGGGCACGGAGCTTCCCCGGCCCCAATGGTCTTCTGGCTGGCTACTCTAGTACAGTAGAGAAGGAACCGATAGAGCGTGAACGATCCAATAGCTGCTACAGAGTGTGGGGCAATTTGGTGCTCATTTCTCCAGCGAACATGACCGTAGCGAGAGGATTTGATGCATCATTCACTTTGGGTGGACTGCACTGGCAACTGTAACTGCCAGGTCACCAGCTGTTGCAGCTACTCCTTCTACTACACTAGTTATAAGCTAGAGCGTCAAAAGACCCCTCCTGTCACCTATCCCAGAGCCTGCTCCACCCGGCCTGAAGCTACAGGAAACAAAGAAGAGCTATCGGTTCCTTCTTCCTGCCAGTCTTCTCCGTTCAGGGAGGGTAGGCTGGGGATAGGGACAAGTTGCTAATTCGCCGCTTGGGATTCTTGGCTACATTGACTCACCGATAGTTTCGCTCCTGAAGATCGGGAGACGCAGGCAGCACCCACTATAGCTTCAATAGAGGTTCCCTGTGGTACCGTTTCGCTCTCGCACGGGAAGTTCAGGATAAATCTAGCTCCTTGAGAGACAAACAACCTCCGCCAAGAAGATTCGCTGGACTCGCCCCATCGCTCCATCTGGCATTTACTATATCTGGACCTTACCCCCCCCAGCCGGATGAGCGAAATGGCGTCGCTGGTCAAATTGGTACCATAGAAGTCGCCACTGGCTAAATACTCCTAGCGCAGCTCCCGAGTTATCACATATCTGCATAGTGGTGGTCGCTGCTCTGCCACCAGCCTGCCTTCAACACCTACACATAGCTGCTCCAACGCTCCACACTCACCTGTCACATAACATCTGGTGAGCTTTTGGAGCAAGCAAATGAGGTCCGCTTCGGTCTTTCTCCTGGACAGTCATATGACCTCAATGGTCATTGTTTCTAAATCTCGTTGTTCCACACCAGGGAAGTTGTTATCTGTGAGAATTAATCAAAGCCAAATGATTTCAGAACTCTGCACTGTCAGTTCTGGTCATGGTTTCTGAAAAGACTGGCATAATGACTGCTGCCGACCAGTGAGGTCGAACATGTATTCTCTGATTGCATGCAGTCTTTTGGCAACGATCGGATGAAACATGACCGTTGGGTCGAGAGGTTTGGATGCACGCCAACCTGGTTTCGGTAGGGTTTGTACCTGGTCGCTGATGGGGTTGGAAGCTTCGCTGGAAAACGAATGAGATCGCTCCTCATAAAAAAATGAGAGTGAATGCATCCACATACACACATTTTCCAGCCACGACCGACCAAACAGCAACAAAACAAGACAAAACAATGATGAGCGCTTTTGAGAAATACCACCGTAGCTATTACAACTACAACAGCTACCAACCTGCCCAACCTGCTCCTCAGAGTGAAGCCCCGCCCAAGCGAAAGATGGAGGAAGACACCGAGGAGGTTGCCAGCTTTTTGCTTTCACTGAAACACCGCAGCGTGACGCCAGAACCCTCTGCAACGGCCTCTGTCGAGCCTTATTATCAGCACTACTCGCCTCAGCCCGTTGCCAGCTTTGCTCCCCTGGAACAACCCGCTCAAAAAGCTGTAGATAAGACTCCTCCAGCCTTGATGATGGAAGACGCTATTGCCATGGGGGGAGATATTCCAGTGGAGGGCCTCCTTGGCGACAGCAAGTTGGTGCTCACCAAAGACCGAGACTTGGTTCCAGACGCTCTGTTTGTGGCCATGGCTCAGATGCGACCCTGCAAGTTGACTCAAGCCGACCGCGTGGGCTGCTACAAGAGCCGGGAAGTTGGTTTTGTGGGCATGTGCTGCATTCATTGTTCCGGACAGCCCGGCTTTGGTCGCTATTATCCCAATTCCGTGCGAAGTCTAGCCCAAACCACCACCAGTCAAACCATCCTCAAGCATGTGGGAAACAAATGCCGATTCTGCCCACCTCACATTCGCCAAGCCGTCAATGAACTCCAGCGTCAGCAAGCTGCTCGGGAAGGCATGTCCACGGGACGTCCTCGCTACGGTTCGCGAAAAATCTTTTTCCAACGTGTTTGGGCTCGATTGCACGGTGGACCCATGATGGAAGAAGATGACGCCTCGTCCAACCAGACACCCAGTGACTTGGAGAGCGAGATTCAGAGCCGCCAAAGCTCTCCGGCTACCTCGGACGATGAGTCCAGTCTCCAGCATCTACCTAAGTCGGTCAAGCGGAAGTTTGGGGCACTTCCTACCCAGAAAAATCTCAAGCGATCCTTGGCGGCTGCTGCTGACGAGGACGAGAATTCCGCCTCCAAGCGGCCTCGTTTTCTCACCAACTAAAAATTCACTTCCATCCATTCTGCTCCACTGATATTATATTATCATACCTACCTCCTATACTATAGACAACTTATTATCCTAGAAACAAAACAAAAAGCTACTGACTGTCATTGGAACTAAAATTAGATAGATAGATAACAAAGCTGCTACCGGTAACAACAGCCCACCCCACAAGTCTAGTCTGGCCCAGCACCACAGCAAAGGCAACCAACAAATCCTTGCCTCATTCATTTCTTCCCTGATTAGATTGGTCTCGATGGTTGTTTCGCGGTCATTGCCTCCAGCCTTGTATCGAGAACCCGCAAAACGCGACTGCCTGGGTCATTGCTTGAACCGATCCAAAGCATCTTGCGCCGCCGGGACTCAAGTCCAAAAAGGCATCCACCCAGGAAACAAGTCAAGCAACTGTTACTTGGCCAATGGCGCAGCCTCGTTCCGTTGTTCACTATTTATTTTGGGTCTTGTTTTACAAGAGGTGCTCGGCGTTCATGTGATTTTGCTCTCGCACTTTGGTGGGATCAACCCCTCAGCCCAGCCAAAACTAAAAGCAAGCAAGTTTGCACGAGCGAGGCTCCGCGGGAGTCGAGTCGCCAGGAAGAACCCAGCAAGAAAGAACAATGAACCAACCAAGTGGCGCGAGATATCACCGCAAGCCCAGTCAGTGGCCGGTAATCGCCCCTTTCGTTGACTGCGGATGGTTAGTCGAATGATTGAATGAATCGTTGTGTGCCCTTGCCGATAGGGTAGCTAAGGGTGTATATGGATCAAGAATCCCGCAGAAACGAATGAGCCCTGCAGCAAGCAAGTTTATCCCGCTCCTGGCCTGATATGCATACCGGTACCTGGCCACCGGCCATCGCACAGAAACAATGGCTGGCGGGTCCAGTCAAAATGTTGCTTGTTGGGATAGCATTGCTAGCTACCAATAGTGCTTGTTGTGAATACTTGAATGACGTGGAGAATTAACGCAGAAAGTCTTGTTGCATGTCATCAAGGACACCATTGCTAGTCCTCCTGTACTGCCAGTGAACGCAACCTTGCAAGCTGCTCCGTCATCAGACGTACTCTCTATCTAGAGGCCCGCCCCTCAGAGCGGAAGAGATCTTGCTTTGTTGGGTTCTTGCTGTGCTTGCTTCGTTTACGTTAGACCGGCTGGGCTGGCGGGTGTTGGCCTCACCTCGCTGCTTGAGCTAAAATCGCTTCCTTATCGGCTTATAGTAGCTAGCTAGGGATTGACATTGACATTGGGGTAGCAAGAGCCATGCGGCCTAAGGCGGCTGCATGGCTTCGTCGCACCTCTATTCGGAACATTTCGAGTGGAGTCGTATGAAGGAGATTCAGAGTACCCACGCCTCTTTCAGTTGCGCAATACATTTAGTAGATCGTGCTGGTGCGAGCAAGAGCTCCACTCCGATACTATCTTGTTTCTTAGTAAAGCAAGAGAATTTCCCCTCCAGGTTCTTCCCTTCCTGGCTGGATGGAAAGATCTACATGGGTGCCGCCTCGAGAAAGAAGTCACCCATGCCCCTCTGGTGGCCTTTCTTCGGGTAGTAGCCTTTGAGCGAACAACCAGGTAGCGTACCCGCCATCTAAACCAGCCAGCAGCCACCTTTTGGCTGATGAGCTTCTTTCGAGCTACAGCCAGGGCACCCACAACGACCGGGCGAAGTCTGGCGCCACCACGCACCTTCCTGCGGACACATTGATCCCTCTCCTCGCTCAAGCCTGCAACCCAGCTCATGGGAGGACACAGGGAACAAACGCCGAGCCCAACTCTCTGAGGACGCACGCCGCCCAATGAAAGACTCCACTTCTGAACTACTTACTTGCTCCTGCCTACTCCTTGCCGGACACACACCAGGACAATCCCAAGGCTCCAAACCAGACCAACCCTATGGCTAGCACCAAATTTGGGGCAAGCAGGTGGATCGTGCTGGAGCCAAACCCCTGTGCACCTCCATAGCCTCAACCACCACCCATAAATCATTCTCACATTCTACTAGTAGCCTCCGTCGCCCGAGAAACTTTCTCAGGAGGATACCATCGACAGACGGAGATCCACGGCAAGGAGGGACTCAGCGCCCCTGGTAACGACGCCATATCTTGCGGAGGATGGTTTGAGTGTGTAGTATTAGTATGCACCGTTGCGGCAAAAAGGACTATTGGAATAAAACATGCAGCTAATTCGATTTTTGCTTATTGTTTATCCTTGTGTTGAATGAATGGATGAATGAATTCGATGAATGCATCTGGCACCAATAAATCGAAAGCGTTCTTTTGAAGTTTCCTTGTACAGTTACAGTTACCACACTGCACCAATGCTACCGGTACGTTCGGTAGCAAATACCCAGCCTGTTCACGTCATCATCGTTTAAGCTTTCATTTTGTCCTTGACAATCTCCTCTAGTTTGACAATATCCTTGGCAAAGTTTCGGATTCCCTCTGCGAGTTTCTCCGTAGCCATGGGATCCTCGTTCATTTCCCAACGGAAGACCTTCTCGTTCATTACAATCTTGGGGATATCCATGGTGATGGCCTTTTCGGTATCGAGTTTAGCCTCGACTTTGTCCTTGGACTCGGCAAGCTGGTCGAGCAAGGCCGGGGAAATGGTGAGACGATCGCATCCGGCCAATTCGACAATTTCTCCCGTGTTTCGAAAGGAGGCGCCCATGACGATGGTGTTGTATCCGTGCTTCTTGAAATAGTTGTAAATTTCCGTGACGGATTTGACTCCAGGGTCGTCCTTTGCCTCGAATCCGTCGACACCCTGGGACTTTTTGTGCCAGTCCACTGTCAATCGACAAAGTATTTCCTCAGTGTGAGTCCACAATGTTTCTAAGAAACTGATCATGTTTGTTTTCTCGAGACTTACTGATACGACCAACAAAGGGCGAGATCAAGGTACACCCAGCTTCGGCACAAGCAATGGCTTGACTCTTGGAGAAGATCAAGGTAAGGTTGCTTCGTCAAGAGGGAAAACACAAAGATAAAGTGTGAGAGAAGTGGGGTTTCATGCTTAGAAAGGCAGGATGATGTCATTAGTTACCAGGTGATTCCTTCCTTCTCCAAAATTTCGGCGGCCTTGATTCCTTCCCACTGTGATTTTGGATTGTTGTTTGTCATTGTTGTTGTTAAGAAATAGAGAACACATCGATAAGCAACATGCAAAAGATACACCACAGCAAACGTTATTCTTATTTTTTCGCCACTTACAGTCGCGGCGATCTTGACGAGGATTCGGCTCTTGTCAATTCCCACTTCCTTGTAGAGTTCGATGATGCGACGGGCCTTTTCGAGGGTTGCATCGGTATCAAAAGACAATCGAGCATCCACTTCGGTAGACACGTAGCCTGGAACAATCTTGGTGATCTCGGCTCCAAAGTTGACCGCCAATTTGTCCTGTCATCGATCGATCGGAACGATTCGATCCAAGGGTAGAATATGAAATAAATGATCAGTCAAATAAATAATTCGTGGTGTGAAAAACTCGTTCTCTTTGCGGTCTTGCTTACCATGACAGTGGCGACATCTCCCTTTCCATAAGCGACGGCGTCATCCACCAACTTGGCATATTGGCTCATGGTGGCGGCCTTGTAGATCAAGGAAGGGTTCGTGGTGGCATCTTGAGGCTTCAAACGCTTGATAGCTTCCACATCTCCGGTATCCGCCACGACAACGGTGAGTTCCTTCAATTGTTCAGCTTGAGTCGACATGGTTTCGTCTTGGCAAAAATCTACTGCTTCTGCTTCTTGTGTTTGTGGGTCGTTTGCTTTGTGAGACAGAGAGTCTGATCGGGAGACGAGCAATAGCAACAACAATAAGGGTGCCAGTTTAGGAATACCACTAGACCTGAGCATTATTTATTCGCTTTTCGCTTTTGACAGATTGCAGATTGTCAAGCTGGATCTTCGGGACTCGTCACTCGGAAGATCGCGTATCTTTCGCCGAACCCCCAAGATTCATTCCCCTTTTCTCTCCCCTTCCTTTCTCCCCTTCCTATTCTCCCCCTTTTAGGACAGGCAGCCAGACATGAACTCCCACCAACCACCCTCCGATGCCGTGAATCCAGATTAGACTGAACTCATTATTTTGTTCTGCACTGCAGCACAGAGATAGTTATTGCTGTCGTCGTCGCTGTCCACCATGAGACCCCTGACAGAAGAAGAGACCAAAACTGTTTTCCTCAAGCTTTCAGAATATATTGGAAAGAATGTGGAGCGCATGATCAATCGAAGTGACGAGAGACATTGCTTTCGGCTCATCAAGGTATGCTACCGACAACTTTGTTTGCTCTGATGAGAAAAATACATGTATTGGCAAGAATGCAACACTTCTTTCTTGCCAACCAACTCATGTCAAATATTCATTGATTCTCCTTCCCTTTTTCTTTTTCACAGGACCGATGTTACTACATTAGTGAATCCGTCATGAAAGCTTCTACTTCCATCAGCCGAGATAGCCTCCTGCACGTGGGAACTTGTTTGGGGAAATTCACAAAGAGTGGAAAGTTCAGGCTGCACATCACGTCTCTGGAATATCTGGCCCAATATGCAAAAGTAAGCACTTCTGTTATGGCTTGGAAGGCCAAATTAAAATTTGGAGTCTCATTTTGTGCTCTGTCCATGTTGTTTTTGTCTTTCAGTACAAGGTCTGGGTCAAACCATCTTCTGAAATGAGCTTTTTGTATGGAAACAATGTCACCAAAAATGGACTGGCTAGAATCACGGAAAATACCCCACAATTCGCTGGCGTGGTCGTCTTTAGCATGTCTTCCAATATTCCTCTGGGATTTGGAGTTGCTGCTCAATCTACGGATCACTGTCAAACACTCGACCCCATGGGCAATGTAGTCTTGCACCAAGCGGATATTGGGGAGTATTTGAGGGGTCTCGAGGAAGACATATTCTAACAAGTCAATCAATAATATGCAAATTAGCCAGGACAACTGTACACATGTACGGTTATTACATGTAGAATCAACCTCTGGAACTCTTTGGTTTTGCATCTCTACCGTGCTCTTCAGGTTCAAAGTTCCTCGAACCTCAATGCTGGGGAATCCATGCAGACTAGATCTACAGTTGTAACTGGAAGTGATGGATCCGGTAGATCGTTATGAGCTTCAATTGTACCAAGTAAAGTTTGTCGAGGACATCAGTTTGGCACAATTTGGCAAGAAGAAAGCAACAGTCTAGAACTCGGCTTAATAAATCGTATGGTACATGAAGGCTATAACTGTCCTTTCGGTGAAATACAGTATGGTGGGTTATTCCTGTGTTTATCCAAGCTAGTTATAGACCATGTACTTTGGTGTGGAACTGAACTTCTTGTACCCCTTGACGACCTTGTTGACCGAGTCAAGGAAGTCCTTCTCACTGACACTCTTTCGGCGAGCGCGGATTGCATACATTCCAGCTTCGGTACAAACACTGTGCAATTCTGCTCCGGTTGTATTGGGGCAGAGACGAGCAATAAGTTCAAAACGAATGTCACGGTCGCAATTCATTCGCTTGGAATGGATTTTCAAGATGTGTCCACGACCTTCCAAATCAGGGAGACCGAATTCGACCTTTCGATCCAAACGACCGGGACGCAGCAAAGCAGGGTCCAAGGTGTCGGGTCGATTGGTAGCCATCAATACCTTGATGTTACCACGGGCATCGAAACCATCCAACTCCGTAACGATTTGAAGCATTGTACGTTGCACCTCATTGTCGCTTCCATTCTCATCGGATCCAGTACGAGCTCCACCAATAGCATCAATCTCATCGAAGAATACAATACAAGCTCGCTTGGATCGAGCCATGGTAAAGAGTTCTCGCACCATTCTGGCTCCTTCTCCAACGTACTTCTGAACGAGCTCTGATCCAATGACTCGGATGAAACAAGCATCTGTACGGTTGGCCACAGCACGAGCACTCAGCGTCTTTCCAGTGCCTAACATGTGAAAAATAGCAAGTGAGCATAACTCTGTGTCAAGCACACACAGCTCGACAGATGCTTGCATCGTTCTCTGCGCTTACCTGGAGGCCCGTAGAGCAAAACTCCTTTGGGAGGGTCGATACCCAGAGTGACAAACCGTTCTGGATGAAGCAAGGGAAGCTCCAAAACTTCACGTAATTTCTCCATAGCGTCTTTGGCTCCTCCTACATCATCATAGGTGACATCTGGTTTGTCCTCTACCGTCATGAGACTGACTGTAGGATCGATTTTGGGAGGCAATGGGATTTGGATGGAATACTTGGATCGATCCACACCCACACGCATTCCTTCTTCAATGTCGGTAGGGGCAACCTTTTCACCCAACCCAACCACGAATTTGGCAATTTGCTTGACATTGATCACATATTTACTGCCAGCAGCGTTGGATGAGTTCATTCCACCCATGCCTCCAGCGCCATCGCCGCTATTGTTGTTCTCAGATTCACCTGCAATAATTTTGGTGCAGCGTGCTACTTGCAAAGGAGCCTCCTCGCTCATCATTTGTTTGTCTCCAACTAAATCCCACATGGAAGGCGGCGACAGTCCAGTGTCGCTTTCCTTGATACCAATAAGATCTTTGACGGTTTGTTGATGCGTCTTGATTTCCTCTTCCAATGTCTTGATCTTGGTGCTGTAAGGACCCAATCCGTAGCTCTTTAGCAACGCAATATCGCCTTCATCGAGAGGAGGAGGGGCATCGTCTTTCTCCTCCTACGTATTCAAGTCATGACATTGAGCCAAAGCCATGGCAACGTGAGACACAACAGCTTTCCACAAATCCTACAAAGATCGAACGATCGAACGGAAACTAGCTAGCTAGCTCGAGCCCACTTACATCATCGTAATCACCACGGTTCGACGTTTGGCATTCACCGGAGCTCATGGTTGGTCTTCAGTTGTCGTCTTTTCTCCGTGTGCTCGAGGGTGTTGCTCAGAACGGTTGCGATTGTGATGGAATATGGCGGTGCTCTCTTATTCTGCCATGGCCGCTGTTTTTATCCCTTCGGCCGTAGTATAGGGTTATTCGAACGAAGCTGAACCTCAAAGAATGTGGGATTGCGAGATTTAAAGCAGGTCATTCAATCGAATCGAATCGACTGAGTCGACCTACTGTATTCGAAGTGATCGAATTGTGGAGCCGAAAACAAGAAAACAAGTTTTCTTCGGGCTTCGATGCGCAATCACACATCACACACCACTCATTTGACACCTACGGTACACTACATGTATGCATAGTATCCGGATACGCTATATCCGCACTTCCACAACATCAAGAGCTCAGAAGCAATCCATGACATCGCAATAGTATTGACCATATTTCACAATGGCAGACGATGACCTAGACGATTTCTTTGCGGAGGTATCCGATGCCGAAGCCAAGGTGACGGAAGAAACACCTGGAATCGACGAATCAACAGAGCAAAAGCAGGGGGATGAAGAGACCACTACCAAGGAATCGTCAGAGCCACCAACGAAGAAACAAAAAACCAGCGCTCCTGTACGTCCCAGAGGAGTCGTTGTCGCGGCATCCACATCGGTAGTTATACCCGCCAAAAAACGAGAAGAGCTGGTCGCTGAAATGGAGTCAGCTGCTGCCCGACAGCAACAGAATGAAGCAACGTCTCATGCTACTCTTACCGTGGCGGCTGGTCCCATTCGAGGTCCTACTCCTGCAGCAGCATCCATTGGCCCAGCGTTTCCTGCTGGGCCCAGCAATGTCAACACCAATAGCAATGCTTCGTCGAATGCCAATGAAACCAAGGTAAAGGCGTCTGTTCGAATGGCAGCGGGACAGGCATGGGTCGACAAAAGTCTCGATGAATGGCCTCAAAATGATTTTAGAATTTTTGTGGGCAATCTCAGCAATGAGGTGGACGATCAAGGTCTCTTTCAGCACTTTTCCAAATACCCCAGCCTTGCCAAAGCAAAGGTTGTGAGACACAACAATAATCCTGAGAAAAGCAAGGGATATGGCTTTGTGAGTTTGTTGGATCCATTGGAATGTGCTCGTGCCATTCGGGAAATGGATCAAACTTGGCTGTGTTCACGGCCTATTCGGGTCAAACGCAGTGATTGGAAAGAGAGAGATTTCAAGGTGGTCAAAAAGAGGGAGAAGAAAGAAAAGAAACAACAAAAACGAAAGGGTAATAGCATCATATAGTAGGCTATCCTGCTGAGAATATCAGTGGCGTCGCAGTTTAGGCAGCGAAAATTGCAATGGGTACCGGTACAGTGTACGTTTTGTCGAGGCTGTGGTGTGGTTTCTCTTTCTATTTTACTTTGTTCTTGGTCCTTTTTACTTTTGCTGGCCGCCCGTCGCACGGGAAGAGCAGACAACTGCAGAGATGCGTGCATGATGGCCACTGCCACTACCGTATTGCAATTTCTCCCACCTGGCTTCCATCGCACAATCCAATAAGATAGCAAGACAATCTACTCATTGAGCGGATTAGTAAAACTTTGGAAGAAGTATTGTGGGTCTCATATTTGTAAGCTTAGCTTAGTGAGCAAATTTCTACTGGCTTGGAATTGACATTAGACAGGTTGCAAGGAACCTCTAAGCGGAACCGTGTCTGCCTATCCCATAGCTGAAATGTTCCTTCCTATGAATAATGTAGTCAACTCCTCTAAGGTTTACACGCACGCTGCGGCGGACCCCAGTCTTACACCAATTACTATTTAGTTGCTGTTGTTGCCCAATGACAGGATACAAGCCCATCATCATGGAAATTAGAGATCTGCTGTCGTCGAACGACAGAGAGACAAATAAGTTGTGTCAGTCGTCTAGACTCATGAGGAAATTGCGGAGTCTTCGAATATATTCTGCCAGCTTCCCAGGCCCTTCTGTAATATCGTTGTGTCCTCTATCCGATACCCACCACGGTTCCCGTTGCAGGTGCTCAGGAACTGCCTGGTGCAGCGATACACCATGGCCCACTTCGACCTCTTCGTCAAGGCGTCCGTGGATCACCATAACCGGGCATTTTGTTTTCTTGATTCGATCAATATTCGGATATATATCCAAACATGCCAGCAGTCTACGGAAGCAGACGACATGCACAATTTATTGATACTGAGTGAACAAAGTCCAAGAAAAATGGCATGCACAAACTTTGTGGTGACTTACCGGCTAGGAGTCAAGACGCGCATACCACTCGTAAAGGCGCTGTGTAGGACCATTCCTCCCAAAGAATCATTCTTCATTGCCAAATAGCAACATGGGCCCCCACCAACTGACTGTCCGTATAAGATAATACTGGATGGGTCATTGTTGGCCACATGTTCCAGCGTATAGTCATACACGGCCTGGATATCGCAATAGGTATTCTCTTCCAAGGGCATCCCCCCACTCTCTCCAAAGCCCGAGTAATCATACATGACAACGTTGCAGTCTAGACTGTGGGCGAGCACAGCCTGCAATGGGAACATAGCTCCAATGTCGGTAGCATTTCCGTGACTGTATATTATTGTTTTGGTAGTACTTCGTTTTCTCTTGTCTGTGTTGTCCTTGCTGTCCCCATTGTCATGTGCAGCATTGATTCGGTAGATCACCGCGGCAACGTGGATACCGTTCTTGGAGGGGACTTTGATGGCTTCTACCGCATTGGGGTCGTAACGCGGCACGGCCAAACGAGAGTCCAGTTTCAATCTGTATTGTACATTATTTTTGTGATCTTTGCCGTCCCGTGCATTCCTTAATTTGGCCTGTTGTCTCAAGTCCTTTGCCCTGTCCACTAGTTGTTGAGCGGGTGATTGCATGCGTTCTTTGGTCTCCCCCGTTCGATGTGTCGGATCGTAGTTATCATTAGAGTCGGGGGATTCTGTTTGTGATAGATTGTTGCTTCCGTTGCTTTGCATATCATTATCTGGGCCCTTGCCATTGACTCCATCGTCATCGTGCGGAAGAATATTTCCGTCAGAATCACGACGTTCAAACTGATAGAGAGGGGGGTCCGGTGGAAAGAAGGTCAAGGCACCGGCCACGCTGCTCTTGCTGCACCCACTCTGCGCCCACAGGCAAAAGAGAGCCGACACAGCCGGCGGACAACAGCAGCACATGGTGGTGGCTTTGTTTCTTCAAATGCCTCTAAAAGTCCGGAAACGACGCAGAGTTTGATGAGGCGCTTGTACCTCGCCCTGCCTGGAATAGATAATCTTTCCCCGCTGCTAGTATTATAGGGGCTCTACTTGATCACTGCTTCGCTATACACCGTCGAGTCCACTAATCCAATCGCCGCTGTAAAACATCAAACTTCTTTTGCATGACGCCACTCGTCGTTGCCATGTCCATGGTTGCGATCAACGCCCTTTCGTTTGGAGCCCAAGGAAGCGTGCACGCCAGAGATTCGGCCAGAAGAAGTTTTTTATTTAAAGGAGAGGTGGAGGAGGCGCCAATCGTCACTACAGCTCTAGCCCTACGACCCAATCGTGCCTTCCGATTCTGTTTTGGCCTCCCTCCGCAATCAGCTGGACCCCTTCTCCCTCTTTGCCAATCCGTACCATGGTACTCGAGTAGAAGCTACTAGTACAGGAAGAACCAAACCTAACCCAATACCGGTATCAGGTCCCGCCCTATTAGCTTGAAGCATCTCTTCCACCTGCTTCGCCCAATGCCTGGCTTGACACCTGATCCAACTCCTGGATCCTGGCCCACCCTTGGCCCAACACGATGACTAGTAGATACCCGCCCGGTAGCTAGCCAGCCAAGGTTTGAAAATACATACATGTATAAACGTGCCCCAGACGAAGACACGAAACTATTGGCACTTTCGGTATCATTGGCCCTGGCAAACTCGACTGCCTTGCCGGTACAAGCTGCGCCCATGTGGCTCGCTGCTTGTGCCGTAGTTTGCCCTGACCATTGCACCTGCAAAAGTGCCGTTGCCGTTTGTCAATGCATGTTTGCTCGAGACTCGAGAAACGAGCTGCAGTGTGAATGGAACACTCAAAGCCCTTCGCAGCAACATCCGTACCCAGGCCCAGTGGCCATGTTTCACTCTGTATGGGTATCGGTAGTACCGGTACCGGTACCGTAGCCAGAATAGATGGTTCGTCAAACGGATCACTGTGGAAAAATATAGTTCTTTCTCTTCTACGTAGTATGCCATACATACAAGCAATGAGGTCCATGGAGATAGAGTTATTGCGTACAAGGAAAGACTAAGATCGATGGACACGGTACTTGAAAAGACGATCAATTTGAACGATTAAACTAGAGACATCCATGGGTTGACCAAGCAGGGAGGTACCCATAAGGATGCTAAAAATAAATACAATATAGGTACTACTCTAGACAACAGACTAGCTAGCTAGTAGATTCGTATGCACTCTGAAGCCACCAATAGTGGCCGGTGTATATGAATTCTATTGGCGGCATCAAATGTAACACATCCTGGCAGAGTGGATAATGATGAATATGCAGCAAACTTGTGTGAACTATTTTAATTGACTCAGAGGAGTCAATTACATATACATTGAGCATATCGTACTGAGCGATGAAGCTTGTATGGCCATGCCACCCGTATGGACGCACGTCGTTGAATCCACTTAGCTAGCGATTCTTTGCCAGGTGCTTCATGTAAGCATCGATACGCTGATCGCGTTGCTCCAAGGCAAAGGAAAAGGAGTCTCTTGCGATGGGACGAGGGTGCTGTCGCGATGGTAAGCAAAAACAAAAACAACATCGAGAAATGAGCATACGGATCCAATTTATTTTTGACAAATGAATCTCTCCATGAAATCCTCAAACTTACGCCTTTGTGGAGCATGTCGACACTCCACAAGAGTCCAGCGACGGCGTTGAACGCGCCGATGACGACGAGAAGAGACGATGCAGATTGGTACGGCATGTTGTTGGATGTGTTTACGACTGTTGTTGCCATCGTCGGCTGTTTGGTGCGGATGTTAAGTCCCGAGTGCGTTCTCGTGATTCGATTCCCATTTTTCACCATGACCCTTCGCTCTTCGCATTGCCTTCATCTTCTTCCTTCTTTTTCTCTTTTCAAGCCTCAGAGAAAGTATCGATAGCGGTCTGCAGTAGAGGTATCATTAGCCAACTCGACCTTGTGCAGTTTGTACCTGGTATTGCGTTTCAGTAGGACCACAGTGTTTGGTAATAATAGTAATAAAGCAACATGAGTGAGGTTCAAAAGAAGGGATTTGAGTTGTGTCGGTTTGAAGATGCTTTGGCCCCGATTGTGTTAAACCATGACCACGCGAAGGAGGTCGTTGTTGTGGGCTGTGATGAGCTGGAGGATGGCTTGGATGAAGCCTTGGATGCCATGGAAGAATTTCCAGTTGATTATCCACAACAAGAAGATGCTCTCTTGCTGCATTGTCGATTCCCTCGACCAATCCAGTCCAAGACGAGTGTAAAGTCATTGTTGCAAGAGGCATCCCCAAGCAGGTCACAAGACAGCCAAGATAACCCCAAAGAAGATAATGGTGAGGAACCACTGGCGTCCATCACGGGAATTCCAGAAGAATTTGGAGCCACCGCAGGAACACCCAAGATACATGTTCATCTTTGGACAGGAACAGTGGCGTCCTCCAAGCCTAATACCTGCAAGTGCCAGGCGGCCCATTCGGAATGGAAACGACAATCACTCCAGCAGAATCACGCAACACAATTGTCCTCAGAACAACAACAAGCTCAGTCCGTCGAGTTACAATGGGTGGACTTGAGACAGTGCGGTCCAGGACCACTACTCTTTCCATCCTTGACTTCTGTGGCGCACTTTTACAGATCTCTCATGGGAACCTCCCATCAGTCATCGCCTTGGTGGCAACAAGAAGATGATGATAAGGATTACAAGACGCTTCACACCACTTTCAGTCATCACAATCCACACAATCGTATTGCCGTGCTTCTTGATGGAGAAGTATCAGATTTCCTGTTGGATATCCGAGTTGCTGATATTTGTCCTTCTTGGTCACTTTATTCCGTTTCACAAGTCAAAGTGGCGCCAACATGGCAACCTTGGCAAGCTGCTACACCAGACACAAATCTTACTACTACTACGAAAGCGGCTACACTGGTTATTTTCAAACCATTGCCACCTCGGCCTCTGCTCACTCTTGCAAAACCCTCTTCCAATAAGATTGAAATGGACGAAACACACTTAACTGAGTTACCAGAGGGTTGTCTCTGGGAAATGTACTTGGAATATAAAGACGAGGACGACAATGAAAAAAATGATAAGGACAATATTGAGGAGAAAAAGACAACGGTTCGAAAGGTGCCTCATTGTCGTATGACGGCTCCTCCATACGTGTCCTATAAACAAGATTTTGACATGGCTCTCTTGCAACCATTGCTCGACAATTGGAAAGTCGTTCGTGACGAAGCTTTGCAGATTCCACAGTGGACGGCATGGCCAGAGACGCAACACTATTCCAAGGCCAGATCACGACAAGATGTGGATGACGACCAAGATGGCATATCCGAGGAAGAGCCATTCCATCCCAGTTGGAACGTCTTTCCACTCTGTCATTGTTTCCCTGCCAATCAACCGGAAAACAAACAGTGGATAGACAAAACATGCGCCTTTGTCCCACGCACCGTCGAATTGCTACGTGCCATGAACCCACTCGTGCGAACGGCACTGTTCTCGCGGCTCGATCCCGAAACCACGCTGGAAGCTCATACTGGTTGGTCCGACCTCGCTAACCATGTACTGAGATGTCACTTGTCGCTCGTAGTACCCGATGGCGAAGTTTGTGGGACTTGGGTCGATGGATGTGTCGCCACGCACAAGGAGGGACAATTCTTGTGTTTTGATGATTCCAAGACCCATCGGGCCTTCAACTATCACAAGAGCCAAGAAAGGATTGTCCTCATATTGGATCTCGCACGACCTGATAATCTGCCTATTGGAACAGCCACGGGAGGACATTCCGACGAATTGGATCAGTTCATTGCACAAATGAATGTTTAGATCCTGCACAAGTGAGCAGGTACAGTAGGAAGAAGTCCAATATTGATTAACTACATGGTATCAGCTAGTTTTGCTATTCTATACCTCCTTCGTGTCCTCTTTGTAGGCTTATGGCAACCGCAGTTAGGTGTTATGGAAGCTTCTTAGAAACTACGTCCCTTCCTTCTGCTTGCTTGATCGCGCCCCGGAGTGCAAGGTAACTGAATCGAATCTACTTGCATCTTGAGATATACCCTGCTTCGTATGTAACTTTTCCAACCCACAGTCACCAGGTGCCTGCTAAAGATATCATGGGAAGCAATCCAAGAAAGCTACCGGTAGTGTACATGTGTCGCGGAAGAAACTTGGAAAACATGCTACAGCCAAGTAGCACCGTGTGTGTCGTAACAAAATTTGTTCAAATAAATACGTATTTAGTTACATGCAGTTCTGTCTATCATCGCAAAAGACGTCTTTTGCTCATCGCGTTGTTATGCATATCCGTGAGCCGCCCTGGCCGCTTGCATAAAGGCCTTTGGATCAAACCTGGCACCGTCTTCAGCCATTTTTCGGGCCTCTTTATATGACTTCTTGCGTTGTTGTTGGACCAGTTGGCTTTGAAAGGCATTCTCGTTGATTTCCTCTCGTGTGAAACCCCATTCAAGCGCCTTTTCGGCCCGAGCTCTGGGGGACAGCAATGACGAGTCCCTGCGTTTACTGCTACCAGAGCCAACCAACAAGCTAAGTACAGAACCGTTGCAGTTGCGCTTCGATTCGTACTTTTCTAGATCCATTCCCTTCTTCTCCCTGTACTGCCACCCTAAAGCCAGGGATGGACCCTGATCGCAAGGATTGTCGCCTAAAACCTGCTGGAACTCCCGGATCTGCACTTTGTCAAAAGAAACTGTGCGCTTCAGAGTGTTGCAATCATCATCATCGCTGGGGGTGCGGGGACGACTATTGCTCCTTGTCTTGCTTCTGCTCAAACCGGGTATCCGGATAGAGCTCAAGTTTCGGTCACGACCTCGAGCGGGAAGGCGAATCGGAGCATCTTCATTGCGCTTTCCCATTGCTCTGGCTCTTTGAGTAGAGGCGCCCTTGAGAGCACTACGAAGGTGAACCGGGGCTTCGGTGCTACTCTTGCTCCGCTGTACTCCTCTTTTAGCGGGAATTCCGCGAACAGGTGAGGGACAGTCATCCCCACAGGACGCAGAGCGTTGAAAGGGTGGCAGGTTGGGCTTCGAACCGGAAAGATGCATCAGATCAGAGAGGTCAACATTCCAAAAATCCTCCATCGTGTTGGTGCCACTTGAGCTGGCTGTAGTTGCAGTAGCGTCGCTTCCCCGCTTTTGGTGGGAGGAAGCTTCAACGAGCGCAGGGGGAACAATGCTTTTGTTCATCTTGGTTATGCTTCGGCTTGTGTTTGGAACTTGAGCAGATTTTCGTGTTGGTCCGCTTAAAACTTCCTTCGAGTTGGAATTGTGGTTTGACTGGATGGTTTAAACTTGTGATAACGTGATAAACATTGTGATGCTTCCGGTTGATACTTCACGCAGCTGCCATCCTGCCAGCAACAAAAAGAGATACAATGACGAATGACAACCGCGTATGAACGCTTGTATTTGCCGTATGAACGCTTGCCCAATCCAGCAGGCGAGCCAACTCTTCCACGCTCTGACTACTGGTGTACTGACTATGCATCCAGAGTACTCAAAATAAAAAATAAATAATGCTCAGCTACATTTTTCAGCTTTTTCGAGGCCAACGTACTAATTAAGGCTCGTAAGCTATGAGTACCAGTACCGGAAACCTGAATGGTCTTCATCTAAGATTAGGGCTCCAACTATTAATGCAGTAAACTGGTTCGGCTGGTACTCAGATCAATTAAAGGTTTCTTCTCGATCGATTGGAGTATTTAGAAACCGGAAATAAGCTGTAAAACACATCTGTAACCACTGGCTGCCATTATAATAATATTAGCTCTGCCATTCTGCAATTGAACATTGAACATTGAACCCTTGAGGATTGCTTGGGGACAATACGGCCCCGAAGAACACTTGACCATGCACCACAAGTTACAAGAGCACTCAGAGCAATATCAAATCGTATTCTTTAACGTACCGTACATCTTACCGTACTTTGAGGTACAGTGGTACAGTAGTTCACTCAAGACCATTCCAAGAGACTCCAAGAGTGCCAGTAAAATTTAATAATGAGGAGAGGAGAATGGAGGAGTTATCCACTGACAGCACGTTTTACTTTATAATGGACTGTGGTATTTTAGTACCGTACCCTTGCTTTGAGATTCTACACTCCAAACTCGAATATAAGAAGCTCCACTATAAGAAAGCGAGCCCTGAGATTCTAGAAAATTATAACTGTGTGCGAACTTGATACACTAAAGTAGCTTGCAAAATAGTGCGAACCGTTGCGGATGGGGACTCGAACCCCAAACCAAGGAAAAGTTAGCGATATGCCGGACCGCTGAGCCAACCCCTAGAATGTTAAGAACATCTTGATGCTGAAATATCACAGACTTGTAAGAAAGCTTCCCAGTATTAAGACCTCAAAGTGTAAGAAATACTACTAGTCTGACACCATGAAAATGCTTCAAACTTGTGCTTACATCTGCAAAAATTTTGTTAGAAAGGAACTGCGGGTCAAAAATGGTGCTGCACGGTAAGAAAGGCCCAGGGCTGCACTGAATTTAGAGATTTCTTATATGTGAGTTTGGAGTGTAGATTGCCTAATTCTGAGCAGCAAAGTGGAATTACTAGTATCAACCGGTACTAGGTTCGTACCCCAGTCGTACTACGTTTCTGCAACAGTAGTTGCACAGGCCCAGTATGTGCTTCCCCCTGCTACTATGTGGATCTTACATACCCTCAGGATCAATGACAGTATGCTACGTAGAAAAGGTATGGTATTGGCAGTCATTGAAACAAAGATCATCTCAATAAGACTCCCATTATTAAATAAACTGCAACAGAGAAGATATAACACCGGCATTAAGACCAACCACATACTGAGAGGATTCCGATTTCGCCTTAAGTAGCCACAGGAGGTATCCAATGGATGCGTGCCTCTCTCAGTTTGCCTCTCTCAGTTTGCCAGTACGACTGTATGGTACTGAATCGGTTGTTAGCACTGGTACGATCGCTACGTTTGAGTATACTCAAGCAAGGCATTCCCGTAGGGTAAAGAGGCAACCAACGCAGAGATCCCGTGATCGATCGATCGATCTGTACAGGAAGCTAGCTAGCTCAGTTCAGTTCAGTTCAGTTTTCCTCATTATTTTCATTCCTTCAACTCTGTAAAGGAAACTCTGCCAAAATTCCAGCTCAACCAACAATTGCTTAGTTGACCAAAGAATTCCTCCGCCATGGCCAATGCTGGAGCAGCCCTTGGGTTGGAAGACGTGCCCGAACTTCCTGAAGCACCCACCGAACAGCCAAAATACAACCGGGACTACCATCGACTCTTCATCAAATTCATGAGCTGGCTGCACAAGCGGACGTACACCAAGGCGGCTCGCTTCCAACCCAGTGCTTTGAGCGGCATCCAACCACATCACGTTGCCGACTACTTGAAATGGCGTGCGTATGGTACGACCGATGTTGACTTCAAAGATCTCGAGCAGAATCCAACTTGCCGCTCCGCTACTCTTGAGCAAGACAAGAAGGCTATCTCATTCTACATACCCATCAAAGGTGCCACATGGAATGGAACCTCCGGCAATCCAACCAAGTCCGATCCTGTGAACGAAGTGGTCAAGGAAGTCAAGAAAGCGGAGACTCAACACCGCGGCAAGAAGTCCTGTGTCACCAGGGATTTGACGGAAACAGAGTATCACAAGGTGGTCCATGAACTCTACGACAAAGGGAGCTTTGAAGGGACCATCCGTACAGCTTGCATGCTGAAGCAGCAAGTCCATCTCATCACCAGGACGGATGACATCTCCAAGTTGAAGTATTCAGACTACAAGCCGCATCCAGACTTTCCTTTTGCTCTCAGTTGCAAGGTGTATTGGTCCAAGAATATTTCGGAAGAACGACAATGCCCCGACCAAATCATCCTTGTGCACTACGCTAAAAGCTAGTGTAAAGATCTTTCGAGTGTTTTGAGTTTGAGAGAATGAAAGTTATGAGAGGATTAGAA